ATAAAAACTCAAGTTAGATACCGTTATTAATCAGCTGTAAGTTTTAGTTTGTTTGAACTTATTCATTATAATTATTGTACAAAATGGTATAAGAATGCAAACTTAAATTGATTATAGTCTATTTTCAATTCAGGTTAAGAAACTAGTGTTGCTTGCATCCTATTTTAAAGGCATTTCTTTTTATACTCTACTAAAATGCAACAAAAAAAGGGTTTGATTCTATTAATTTTGTCTTTTTTATTGCACTTTGGCAGCAGATTCCTGTGTAGCTTCAGATCTGAGTTGTCTTATTAGTAAGCCTAACTAATTAACTGCTAACTGCTAACTAACTAACTGCTACTTTTGTAGCAACACTATTTTTATATAATGGCAAAGAAAGAGTTCAGAGTCTTTTCTTTTTTCCTGTGTCATATGTGGCAGCACTGTTCAATGTTTCTTGAAAACATTACCCACTGTAGTGACGTGTGAATAAACTCCAACTCTGTATCAACAACACTGTTGTGTAACTTCAGTTAAATACTTGTACGTGTGTAGATTAGAAAAAGGTATGATAAAGCATCTGCAGTATTTTATGAAGTATTAATCGTACAAAGGTCAGTTTTATACAAGTAGAAGTGTGTATTTACCTGGTAGTAATGGCTAAGCCTCTCTATTTGGACTGGTAGATCTAGGCAGACTGGCAACTTTAAAAGTAGCTCTCGGTTCAAAAAAGGTTGGGCACCCCTGCTCTATACAATGATCTGACGTCTTTTCGCCACCAGTAGAGCCTCCCCCTGTTGGCCAATAGAGATAATGCAACATAAGGCACTTCCGTATTGGCTTAACTTTTTAGGCCAGGAGGTTGCCACTTGATTCAAACAAGGTCAAGCAAAAACTGTTTAATAAAATACATTTTAAGAAATATATTTCAAATTGTATGAAATTATTTAAGGTTGTATATGTGTATGCCTTAATCAGGTCAAAGACAAAAACGGAATGAATGTCATGAAACAATCTTGATGTATTTTTAATTGAGAGAAGCCCATTTGTCCCTTTGCCTGGGGGTGTGTCAGTGTTCATTATTCTGTCAGGTGTATAAATGGCTATTCAGAGCTTATGGGCTTCTTGTAACTACCATTTGAGAAAAAAAACTGACCAAGAAGTTTCCCTGCAGTCGGGAAGTCTGCTTTCCGCTGCTGAAAGGATTTTGTTAGAAACCTCTCAGGAGAACATTTGTTGAAAGCACAGGGTGTTTATTTTTTCTTGCCTTACATGAATGGCTGCTCTATACCTGCAGAACAAAAAAGAGTCTGCAGCTTCAGCTTGTACAGATGATGAGGAACAAGCCTTCCTGCTGTAAACCGGCTCTTGCTGTACACTGTTTCAATAGCCACAGCTCGTCTTCTGTCTGAGTACAAATTCAGCATGACATATAAAACAGGACTAACTTGCACAGTGTTCAATCTAATTTAATCTGGAAAACATGTTTTGTAGGTTTGGAAGGATCTAGGATTTTATGGAATCACAGTTAAGAGTAAAAACAAATACTTACAAAGCTATACCTTGACTGAGGAGATACAGATGGGACACAAAGTTCAAACTGTAAACCAGGAATGTTCAATCACATTAAACTACATTAAAATAGAGAGAAACTAATCTGCAATGCTGTACTCAGGCCATGTTCTTTATGAGTTCAACTGTAAAAGCATTCACGTTACAATTCTGCTTCCTAAAGGCGCACTTTTTTAGTTGCATTAGTGGCCTATAGGGATAGCAATGCACACCTTTGGTACATTTTTCTTTTTTTTGGATGTTTAGAAGCACTTTATTAATAAAATGTTGCTTTCTGGATGCACAATCTTTAAACATAACAGATTGATCCCTGTCTGCCTTAAGTACTTTTTAAGGGAAACGTAATTGCTTAATTTTTTTTCATTTGTAATAACCACAAAAGGGACAGGACGTTTTATGTCCATTATGAGTAATGGACGTTTTTTTGCAAATATGAAAACATTTTTTTATGATTGAGTCAGTCTATGCACTGGTTTAGTTAAGGCTTGTAGAAAAAATATATTGTTTTTGTAATCACCAATAACTTCTTGTTTGTTCTCCCAAACTAGTTTTTATGTCCCATATGTCTCATCAATGGTTCATGAAAGCCCCTGAGAGGAAAGTTACAGTATGACCGCTGTATGTCTGTGCGTGTTCATGGATGTCTACGTTTCTCAGTCAAAGTGAGGATGAGTACATCTATATCTGTGGACCTGTTTCTGACAGAACACTGCTTCTCTCAGGCGGTGAATAGAGCAGACGTTCTTCTCACTGAACAGAGCTGGAAAACACAGCTGATAAAAAACAACATCCACCAGGCCGCTGCCTGCCTGCATTTACTCGACACCCAAAGTCATTAAACGCTGCATTTCTCACATAACTGCAGGGGTGTTGCACGTGCCTTCACCCTCTGAAAGAAGTCTTTGACATGCTTTATATGGCTTTCTGACACCAAACACACTGCGCTGCGCAGGTCACAGGACATGTTCACATGTAGTGTTAAACTAACTTAAAGCCACTGTAGCCCCTTGATAAATGGAGTTTATTGAGTAACTGTTATAATTGACACCCTCTCTGGGCAGGTTTGTTTGTAGAGATTAAACTGAAAGAAATACTTCAGAGGTTTATTATTGCACCTGATTTCTCTAATAATTGTTGATGAAGCAGAAACTATGAAATATCACTAGACTTTACTTTAATATCATAACCAGCCGTGACAGAAGTGCACATATGAAGGAGAATGATATGAAGCACTTACTTGACCCTTATGGGGAAATGTCCACATGCCACACCTCACCATATACAAGCTAAGGGGTTGCCTTCACGTGACTGTGTTCACATTTATCAGATGGGCAGTTTTAGAAACAAATGTGTGGTATAAACCCACCCAGGTCTTGCAGGGGCCTAGAGACCAGAGTCTGGAAAACTGCATTCATAATGAGCCTCCTTGTCCCAGTTTGACCTGCTGCTGTAAGTCACAGAGAGCGTACCACCCCTGACTTTGGCTAATGGAGGCCATATGAGGGTGGAGGGCAGCAGAGGGCCCCCTCCTCACAGAGGCTCTTTGTGGCAGGAGCTGCAAGGAGAAGACGGGGATAGTTAAGATAAATCTGGCAGAAAATCTGACAATCTAAACTGGATTTGAAAGTGTATGTAGACTGAGGTGATGCAGCACAAAAACCATGTTTGAAAACCAACAGGGACAAGGCATGTTCACTTATATACTGGCAATATTTGTCCAAGTGGGTGCACCCTCTCTGCGGCGTGTTAAGTGTGATTATAGAAGAGCCTTGTTTAGCACTTAGCTGTTTATAAAATGATCTTTTCATAAACAGCATAGCGGCCCACTATGACCACATCTGGCCTGCACACAGGTATGTCAAGCTCAGAGGCGCTGACGTCAATGTTGGCCTTACATCCACATTAGTTTGCTCTGCTGACTCTCTGTTGAAGAAGAGGAGGGTCACCTATTAAAAAATGCTGAGTTTGAGAAGGAACAAACTCCTGTTGTTGGATTTATGCAAAACCTTACAATCATTGAAGTATACCACCAGAAAGGGTCATAGTTGCTGCAAATGCTTTCAAGCAAAAGTAATGTTTGCTGGGTTTTTATCTGGTAATATGGCATAAGAAGTTCTGGGATTTAAGTAAATCCAAGAAAAAAAAAAGTTTAAAAAAGTGTTAGCTTCAAAAAGAAATGTTTAAAGAAAAATACTATTCTGATTCTAGAATCAGAATCAAGTTTATTGCCAGGTACGTTTACACATACAAGGAATTAGCTTTGATGTCTGGTGGTGTGAACATAAACATCTAAGAAAATAAGTTGCAATAGTAGGTCAAGAATATAAAGATAATAAAAATAAGTATTTTTAAGAAACTATTCAGCATTAAAAAAAGAGTAATAAAGACAAGTATTAACACCAAATTGAAATTGAAACATACAAAGAACCTTAAAAGCTAAACAACTAAAACACTTAGGACAATGAATATATGGCAATATATAGCAAACTACCGATAATTATATATTAGTAGTAACATCTTAAACTTCTGCATTCAAAATCGCACTTATTGTAATAAAATACAGAAGTGTTTGCACCAAAATATACCGCAAGTACCAAAAGTCACAATACTTCTTATGTGTAAAGACTCATTTCAGGATCATATAAAATAGCTGGGTAATGATTATTGATCTCTTCATGTTCATCACAGCTCTTTAACAGTGGAGCTGATTTAAAACACACATATTGATGGGTATCTTAAGTTATGAGTATACAACAATTTGTTTATTTATAAGTTGATTTATATTTAGTAATAGCTAATAACCTGAATTTGTAAAGTAATTAAAGCTGCCAGATAAATGTAGTGCAGTAAAAAGTTAAATATTGGATACAAAAATGTAGTGGAGTAGAAAAATAAAAAAGCATAGAGTTAAAACACTCAAGAAAAGATTAAGTACCTCAAGAAGTAGTACTTGAGTAAACATGCTTTATTACATTCCACCACTAATCACTTTATTGTTGCGGCTGTTAAAGTTAAATCTTATTTGAATAACTTTATGGGTAGTTTCAGATTTTGCGTAAGATTAAAAAAAGGGTTAAAACAAATGTATATTAATCTGAATAATACATCATGTTTATTTTATATACATGTTTTGATTATATCTAAATTTGAAAAATAACGTAAATAATAAAATTATAGTATAGTTACATAGGTAATTGAGTTAAGTGAACCAAAACACTGTTGTGTTTGAATAAAAGGCTTGTTTAGGAGTTTTAGTGGAGACTGAAGAAGTTATTCCTTCACACTTTATATTAAAACTGATTATTGTCTCGCTTTTAACACTGGAGGCCGCTAATGCTCCTCTTCTACTCGGGAAATGTTCCTCGTGCGGTGAGACTTTGGTCGTTGCTTATTGGCCCATGTGTTTTTTCTGGTTTGCAGTTACGCCTTCATTGAGTCGTCCTTTTCTCCCATTGGTTGTATCAAACGTCACTCAACATTGCGTCATTCTGGAGAAAATAAGATTGGTTTAACATGCAAGCTGTCAAGAGTAAAGGAAGCGAGCTAGTGGCAGCGATGCAAACCTTCCAGCCACACTGTGAGTTCATTATTTAATGTCACTCGCTGGTTAAAGAAATAATTTGTACACGCTTATACTCCTTAGCGTTTACATTATTTATCGCACAGACATTGGTTATTTGCTTCAAATGTGGTCAAAATGTCACTTGAATACTTGTTTACATTGTCGACGGTTCGGGGTACTACTTAGCTCAATGCTAACATTAGCCACTGTTTGCTAAATGTGTTTCGCACTGCTAACATTAACATGAACAAGAGCTAACACCAAATAACGTTATTATTGAGTTTGACTAACTGTGGTGTGCAGTTATTATTGTTTTTTATACACGAATATCCCCATTACATTTTCTCTATTATTTTGGTCAGGCTAACGTTCCAACAAATCTACGTGTACCTTTTGTAGCATCCATCTGCTAAGTTATATAATTGCACATAATGGGCCAATTGCTGTAATGTAGCGATGTAACGGTAACAACTACAGTCTGTGGCATAGGTTGACGTTAACCATCCTGCAGGCGCCTGGGCATGTTTAGTTCAATTTACCATCACGTCTTGTAATAGATGCATGCAGTTAAACCTGTCAGTCGGGACATCAGGTGCAACAACAACTTTCTTTTCAGAAGTATCGTAATGAAAAGCACATGCTTACTGTACTGCAGGTCCAAAGCAAGATGTTATACATATGTAGATTGTTCTAAGCCTCTTAATTAGCAACTCACCACCCCTTTTTTACAAGCTTTTCATTCATTAGGATTTTCTGCTTCTCTTTATACTGCGATTCTAAGACGATGATGTGTTAGGTTAGACCGGGAAACGAAGCATTACCAATACGTTTTCTCTAACAATAAACATTATATAGACCAATCCATTTTTTTGGAGAAAATAAACTGCAAATAAATCCATATAAGAAAGACCTTTTTGTTGCAAAACTATATTTGATTATATTTTGAATGAATGAATCGGTTCTAGGCATCAGTTGTCAAACATTTCCAGTTTGTTGATCTGAAACACTGCAAGGTGTAAAATAATTGTGATGAGATCTTTTTTTTACATTTCTTCTGTCACAGAAATGACCTCCCAACATATCCTCTTCAGTCTGTTTAGGTGTCATCATAGCAATAATTACCATCACGAAATGTGAAGCTATGTCTCCTCTACAAACTACAATGAAACAAGGCTGCATAGATTCAGGCTGCACTGTCAGGTTTAAAGGCTGGAGCAGATCTCTGTCTGAGCCTGCCTCCGTCCTCTGACTCGTCTGCTTCGAGGTCGGTAGGTAGAAGTTGTGGCAAGATAAGCAAAAAAATGAGGGAAATCAGCAAGTTGATGAATTAGGTGTTGCAATAGAGCTACAGATACTCTGGTGATTATTATTATTATGTGTTAGATGACGTGATAGGAACTATGCAAACGCAGCGATGGCTCCATCTCATCGACTAACTTGGAGTTTTAACATATTGTTGTATCTGCTTGAATGAAAAACAAGTATTAAGAATTCCTAAAAAAGGAATTAGTTAGTGATTTGCTGATGAATTCATTGTTAAGCTATTTTTAAGAGCCAAAAGAACATCAAACGAAATGTTCTTGTTCCATCTCAAATTTAAAATAATTCCCATTTCTGTTTTATATCAATTTAAGTCAGACATCTTTGGGTTTTAGACTGTTGGTTGAATAAAACAAGACATTTAAATGCATGAACTTGGGGTTAACGGAGGACATGCTCTGCTTTTCCAAGTTGACATAATGGTGTTTCACTCCACATTAGCAGTCTATAAAAGAAAAGTATAGAATGTCAAATGCAAAAAAAATGAGTCCCATTAACAAATGAGGACATGACCCCAGTGTCTTGAGTGGGGGCCTTGCTCAGAGCTTGAGTAAGTAAGTAGGTGTAATAGAAGAGATTAACTGTTACACCCGAGCTCTGAAACCATAATCCATGGAAGGAGTTTATTTGAAATCAACTGAGTGCCAAAGTGAGCGTCAGAATGCATTTCTGTATGTGGGTACCAGGCTAATGCTTAACAACCACAGGCTCCTGTTTTCTGATGCATGTGCAAAGAGCTGACTAATATCAATCATAATAACTTCTAACTATTTTTAAATGCAAAGATTACTCCTGACGGATATCTTTTTCAAGAACAATTCAAATGTGGCACACATCAGTAGACGGAATCACACAAAGGCTTCTTTAAACAGACCTTGGTTTGATTTTCTAACTGTTTTAATTATCCAAATATTTTCCAAAAACGTTGACAGTGACAGTTTGAAATGTCTTGTTTTTGTTTGACCAACTTCCCAAAACCTCATTTACTGTTATAGAAAACACAACATTTGTTTTTTCCAGATCGTGCAACCATACTAGCATGGATGCTAAATATGACTATTATTTGTGAATCCCAAGAAGATTAGGGGAGTACTGCGTCTTTAAGGTCACAGCGACCTTCGATTAAACAGGCAAAATCTGTGGAGGGAACTTTTGCAGAACTTGAGTTCCCTCAGCTTGAGGCTAAGGCTTTGGACAGTTGCGTGTTTGTTTATTATCTCTTTTGGACCCTTTCTAGGCTGCTTATGCTCATAACAGTATTTTCCATGGCAGAGAGTCAACCTTGACCCTTGAGTGGCTGTGCCTCATGGGGAAGCGTCTTGTTGTTCAGATGGGTGTCTCATAGCGTGCCAGAGGGTAATGAGTATTTTGTGGTTGTTTGTGTACAGTACGACATGTGATGCGCTGCCTGGCCTGTCTCCATGGCTGCATCAGAGTAGATGCCCCTGCTGCTTTCTGCCCCAGACTGCAGCGTCAGGGCTAAATGTGTAAAAGGCGAGTAAGTGCTGGAGTTAATGATTGCTCAAGCACACGGCCAGTTCTGCTTGAAATGATAGTATATACTGTAGGCTGGATTTGCTGTGCCAGACAATGTGTTATTTTTGTTGTTGTTAAAAGACAACAATTACACACACAGCGTGGTATCAATTAGGCTGTTGGAAAGAAACAATATAATTACATGTGTTAAACTTTGATGAGAATTCATCGTCCTTTTCATTCTACAAGTCGCAAGTTAGAAGTCTGACAAACATGATGACAAAGATACATACAGTAGTAGTGTATGCACAACGTTATACTTCATGAAGGTTTTTCCAAAAACAGAATAAATGAATCCTTAAATGATTGAAAGGATTTTACCTTTTAAAAATATATTTTATTTTTCTTGTTGACCATTTTGGCGAATATCACTTGATATCAATATTGGACCGTCGCATGTCAAGTCCCATGCTAAAATGAACAAGCATGAATTGTTTGCAGTTTGATGTAAAGTATGATTATTGAAAGGGCTGCCCCGAACTAGTCGACTAAATGTTAGTCACCCACAACGTGTGTTCATTTCTTCATTTTTCAACTGAGCAACTTTCATAGGAATGAACATTCCTCCTCCAATGCATTATCCAGATCTTCTTATACATCCATGAGTGCACTAACCCAAAGTATTAATCAACAACTTGAAGCAAAACGTGCATGAATCATTTGTAATGTTTTGTTTCTCTCGTAGGACTGTCTTTCATACAAATGGAGGCCAGGACTGTCATCAGATAAGCTGCAGCCTCCAAGTCACTAAAGACTCTTAGGAAACAGAAGCCAATGGGATGGGTTTTGAATCTGCTGAATACTAAATGAGAAACTTCCGTGACGCTATCATTGCAGAGGACTGACCATCACCATAGTTTCTCACTAAGCCGTTTTAGGTTTTCAGTCTCATTCTGCTCCTCTGCCTCACACACCTTCATCCAGTGGCTCTGCTGTTCAGCCCACATAGAGAGGACCCTTCCCTCTCCCCTGGCCCCACATCGGCGGCCAGCTCTGGCGGTGTGTTGGTGAACGATGGCGCGGTGGGAAGCTGAGGGCCGCCGCGGGGGACTGTGATGTCAGAGAACACCAGCCCGGGCGAGAGCCGGCGTGGCGCTCCCAGATTCTTCGTGGGCTGCGAGGAGGATGAAAGCGAGGTCCTGGACGATAGCGAGGTCCTGGACGAGAGCATGAGGACAGACATGGAGCTGTATGAGGACGACGAAGACTCAGACTCGGTGTGTGCATTACCCAAATCACAGTCTCAAATCCTCTTTAAAAAACCTCCATTTCACCATTTTGATATATTTTTCAATGATACTGTGAGTGTTTGAACAATTATCATTACCTTTTAATATTGTTAATTATATTGCAATTTCAAAAATCAGAAATTGAATCAGAATTTGTCTTTTCTTTTTCAAACCATGCTGCCCTTCTCTTTACTATAATATGTTTACCTAATGAGCTGGAGGACACTTCATCAGAAAATCATCCGATATTTGTTGAATAATACATTGGCAGTTGAGTTGCCATCTTCCAGTTGATATGAACTCAAACTAATTTCTAAATGTTGTCCCAGCGTTGTGCTTCCAAAAGAGCTCAACAGATATGGTTCATGCCCAAATGTAAGTGCTGTAACTGTAATCACACCCCGACTTCCATCCTGCTCTGCTGTAGGGGATTATTTCTTGTTCTCAATTTGTTGTTATGCACATGAATATATGTCAAAAGACAACTCCAAACAGATCGTGTGTTTACTGTACACACAGAGAATTTAGGAGAAATCTAGCGGGGGATATCAGGGGTTCTCTAATCCATTATCCAGATTGTGGTTTACTGAGAAAAGCTGGTTGTGATTGTACTAAAGTGCAAAGACACTTAATGTGACTGTAAGAAACCAATAATAAGTCTTATTTCAAACTTGTTTAGTATTAGGCCACTTTTAGTTTACAAGGACTTCTAAGGTAAATGAGTCAGCTTGATAGAAGTTAACAGAGGAGGACAGTTTCTGGTACTGTTTTTTGTTGTTGTTGAAATCCCCTGAACAATGATTCCAAGCCGAGCCAATAATTCGAGGTGACGGTAATAGACTTAGACCACTGATTGGCCAGAGAGAATTGTCACTGGTGCGGCACGGGACATCCTGCACTAAACCGGCATTTTGAAATAGCAAACAAATCTCAATAGCAATTTTTGAATATGGCAGCTGGCTTTTCTATGCCATACAACATGCCTTACAATGTGCAAGTGTTCCTTCATTTAGTTGCTGATTTATTATAAGCCTTAATAAAACAAGGACCATGCATAACATTAAAAAGAGTGGAGATGATTTATGTAAGATTGAGACCATTTCCATCTGCAGTCCCTAGTCAGAAACACGCATAACAATCAACAGACAATAAAACATGATTTATTCTCTATCAAACTAACATTTGACCTTGTAAACTTTAAAGTATATAAATGCTCCTCTCAAATGTGTTCAAATTGTGAGCTCTCGTGGTTAACTGGCAATTTTCAACAGATTCCTCTCTTTGAAGAGGAGACAGCACTGACATCTATTTCAGTGCTGCAGCTTGAGGTTTTATGGGGTATTCATGGGACAAAGCTGCCATTGTCTCTCTTGCTTCCTCAGACAGACAGTGTTGAAATGTGAACCCTCTCCCTCTCTCTGCCTCGTCCAGCCCCCAGAGCAACAGATCGTGGTGGGGATCTGCTGCATGATGAAGAAGTCCAAGTCTAAGCCCATGACCCAGATCCTGGAGAGGCTGTGCAAGTTCGAGTTCATCACCGTGGTCATCTTCCCAGAGGAGGCCATCCTCAACGAGCCTGTGGACAAATGGCCTCTGTGCGATTGCCTCATCTCTTTCCACTCCAAGGGTACAAAACCAGACGTGTGTGTGTGTGTGTGTGTGTGTGTGTGTGTGTGTGTGTGTGTGTGTGTGTGTGTGTGTGTGTGTGTGTGTGTGTGTGTGTGTGTGTGTGTGTGTGTGTGTGTGTGTGTGTGTGTGTGTGTGTGTGTGTGTGTGTGTGTGTGTGTGTGTGTGTGTGTGTGTGTGTGTGTGTGTGTGTGTGTGTGTGTGTGTGTGTGTGTGTGTGTGTGTGTGTGTGTGTGTGTGTGTGTGTGTGTGTGTGTGTTGTGTGTGTGTGTGTGTGTGTGTGTGTGTGTGTGTGTGTGTGTGTGTGTGTGGCAGATGTGATAGCAATGCCCACATTTGAAAGCTGGAGCATATGAAATAGCACAAATCTACACATGCATGTACGTCATGTATTCTGAATGCTGTCCTCTGGTGAACTCTGGTGAGGAATGACGGGGCAGTATCTGGTAGTGTGTGGGCGGGCACGTACCCACTATAGGTGTAGGATGCAGGCTAAATGTGTGGAACACACGTTTCTGTGGTGGGAAAGATGATACTTATTTTTGTATGTATTTATTGTATGCATTACACCACTATGTAGCGCAGACTCTATTGTTCACAACAACATTGAGTTGCTTTAGAGGGAGCCTTCTAAATCCAAGTAACGGACAATCCGACAACATCTTAAAAGAGTCATTATAGCAAATGTAATTGAGCCCACTGTTACTGTACATACGGGTACTGTACCTAAGCGACACTGCATTTTTATAAATGATGATAATCTGGTCATGGGTCACATCTCTCCAGACGCCTTCGCACACTTTCTTCATCTCCTTGTACACATTGAAATAAAGTTACCTCCAGGAACAATTTTTCTCAGGTGAAATATTTGATTTATTTGTTTTGGCTGCAAAGATTCTGCCCAGAAAAAAGAACGTTACCAGACAGCATTCACTGCTGTCTGTGTGACCACATGGGCTTCTTATCAACTGCCCAATCATTTACACACTAAACAGAGCCTGCCTGTCTTGTAATACAATGTCACCATTATTTTTAGAATCATTCCCTCTGTCAATGCCAGTCTACAGCATGTCTAGTGTTTTCTCTTATTATGTCTCAATACTCAGAATTGTTTTTCCCTTATTACACATAACTGTCTACGTATTTTGTTTGACATTGTTTATTGAATCATTTTTCTCTGCATGTTCACCAGGATTCCCGCTGGATAAGGCGGTGAGCTATGCCAAACTGAGAAACCCTCTGCTCCTCAACGACCTGAACATGCAGTACTACATACAGGACAGGTACTCGGACATACTGGAGTGGTTAACGTCATCCAGGCAAAGCAAAGAGAGAACGAGAATACAAAACCCACAGTTCATTGATTCATGTTATAATGACTGTTTAACAGGAGAGAGGTGTATCGCATCCTGCAAGAGGAAGGGATTGACCTACCGCGCTATGCTGTGCTGAACCGCGACCCAGATAAACCAGATGGTCAGTCTTCTTTTTGTACTTCACATCACATGGGAAAACAATTATAGAACGCACAAACGACATGTACCCCATTTTTCATTTCATTTTTTAAGCGTTTTGCTCCTGCAGAAAAAGCTCTCCGAAAAACAGCCCCTTTCATACTAGCATCTCGAGGTCATTAATCTAAGACTGCAATGGTTTTACTTCAGCATGTGGATAAATATAGTATCAAATGTGAAGCAGTTGCAAGTGTACCATTCTTTAGTGCTGTGATATGATGTGGTTGCCCTTTAAATCCTGTGTTTGCACTGTGAAAGCCCTTAGACTGGCCAGCAATCAGATGTTTATCCTTAAATGTGATGACTGTTTTTGTAAAAGCACCAATGAGCGTCACATGGTTCAGAGTGCAGAGCTGCTTCACACGGCCCAAGAGTAAACACTCAGGGGGGCGAGTGTCATCTGTGTGTATTTTAGGGGGTGATGAAAAGGGTCTTCCTGGTTTACAGAGAGATGTTTCTCTGTGCGTTTCAGAGTGTAACCTGGTTGAGGGAGAAGACCACGTGGAGGTGAACGGAGAGATTTTTCAAAAGCCTTTTGTTGAGAAGCCCGTCTGCGCAGAGGACCACAACGTCTACATCTACTACCCCACCTCTGCTGGTGGAGGCAGCCAGAGACTCTTCAGAAAGGTGCTTGCATTGTCCCCCCTGGCTTGTTTTTCTTGTTCGTACACTTCAGTCAACACTTATTCAATAAAATAATCAATGGCAAAATGAGATGAAATTGCCATCAGATTATTAAAAAAAAAGGTCCTGCAACATTCTAAAACTGTCCCAGGTCCCAGATCGTGCCCAAGCATCCAAGAGGAAGCTGTGAAAGTGGCAGACACGATGTTGGAGAAATGCAAATATTGCGTGGCTCAACGCCAAGCAGAGAAAAGTAAATATCTGTAACAGGAAAACAATCTAGGGTTGGCTTTCACCCACTTTACAAGCAACCTAGTCCTAGACCGACCAGAGCTGTGCATTTCTTGTGTCGGTTAATATTTTAGCTAAAACAAGAAGATCAGTTACTTTTGCACACTTTCTTACAGTGACACAAAATTGAATTGATAGGGGTTGTTTTTAAATGAAAGCTTTAGAGGCCGAGGGCTGGTTTTGACATTTTTAATATACACATTATGTTTCATGTATAATAACAGCACCAGAACAGAGTTAAACACACCAGGCATTAGTAGATGTAATAGCTTGTGTTGTAATGCTGCATGAATCTATTGCTCTGCCAGAGAAAGCGTGTTATCATGCACGGAGCTGCAGCCTTTAATGATGGATGTTATCCAGACTGTTCAGAGTGCGCTGTGGTACTGGGTTGAAGCAGCTGTTTTTTCAGAATGACAACATGTTTCCCTCCTTGTGTGATTTGTGTAGATCGGCAGCCGCAGCAGTGTGTACTCGCCAGAGAGCAACGTGAGGAAGACGGGCTCGTACATCTATGAAGAGTTCATGCCAACAGATGGCACCGATGTTAAGGTATGGACTGAGGGTTGAATTAAAAAAAAAAGGAGAAAATAACGGAGCAGCACATATTCTGAATTGTGAAGTGAAAGAACATATGGGCCCCTTTTTTTTTTTAAATCAAAGACTTCAATCCCATTTGAACTGTATGAAATCATCAGTACAAAATATCTCCCAATATCTCTGGTTCTTCGATAAAAATGTGAAGGCTCCAAAGTTTTTTATTTTATTTGGTAAGATTAAAACTAAAATGAATTTGCTTCTGAATTCTAGGTTAATTTAGCAGCTGAGACAGCAAACTCGCTACTGCTCTGAATTGCACGTAGGACTCACAATCTCTTCAAGTAAACCTAGCCCGGACTGATGAGTATTGTGGAATTTGGAAAGAGCCGTCCACCATGCCAAACTTGTATAGAAAACATTATTTCTCACAAACAAAATGGAAAATGTTCAAACTAGTGGTCATATCCTAAATCCCTTGGTTCTTATATTGCAACCAAGAGTCCCGGGAGGCCCGTGTTAAGTCACATTGGAGATATCATTCCTATAAACAGATTGGAATATACTTCTGGAACCAGCTGCCCCTCACTTTCACGGCTCTTTTTTTTGTGTTATTGGACAATGATTTTAGTCGCTGCATCCCATTGAACTAAGACTTTGATTGAGAGGTGGTGTTTCATGTGACCTCAGGTGTACACTGTGGGGCCCGACTATGCTCACGCTGAGGCCCGGAAGTCCCCCGCTCTGGACGGGAAGGTGGAGAGAGACAGCGAGGGGAAGGAGGTCCGCTACCCCGTCATGCTCTCAGCCATGGAGAAACTGGTGGCTCGTAAAGTCTGCCTAGCTTTCAAGGTGAGAAAAGGCAATGTGTTAATAAACTCTTGCTTTCTCCTAGTTTGCTCTTTCCTTGATGCTGAACTGTGTTTTCCTCTCCTCTAACTGCAGCAAACTGTGTGTGGCTTCGATCTCCTCCGAGCCAACGGACACTCGTATGTGTGCGACGTCAACGGATTCAGCTTCGTGAAGAACTCAATGAAGTACTATGATGACTGCGCCAAGATCCTTGGGTACTGCCTTTATTTGTGTTCTTTACTTGTCAACTTAACTGTGTTCTGTTTGTTTGAGCTTGCTTTTGTTTATTTCTTGTATTTCTGAGAATTACATTTGTGTCTTATTGGATTTACAGGAACATCGTGATGCGTGAGCTGGCTCCTCAGTTTCAGATTCCTTGGTCCATCCCCACTGAGGCAGAGGACATCCCCATTGTTCCTACTACATCAGGGACCATGTGAGTCAGGACCTTAGTCTAACCAGTTAAGCCACATATTTGCACTGGCGGTTGACTGTGTCAAATAATTGGCATAGTTTCTTAATTATTAGAATCAGAATCAGAAAACGATTTGACCTGGGGGGAATTGATTTTGTGACAGTTGCTACATATTTGTATAAAATAAAAGATTACAAATATTGTTTTTAAATTGGGCTGCCAGAGATCTCAGTTGTAGAACCTGGCCCAAAAAAACCATTTTAAAATAACAATAATACAACTAAAAGTAAGAGAAAACATAAGATGTTAAAGGTCCCATCATATGCTTTTCTGGTAATTACCCGTCCCCTTGTGTGTTATGAAGGTTATTCTGCATGTAAACGGTCTGCAGAGTCACAAACCCTCAAAGTACACCATTTAGCGAGTAAAACTCTAACTCAGAAAAGACCTGTCTATGCTGCCCAGAGGTGGCGCTAGACCTTTTCGCTGCCCGTCATTTTGACGCACATGATTATAAAATGTCCGTCAAAATCCATTATTACCCGTCGGTCTACTCTGTCCACAACTCTGGGGTGGGGGGGACGCACGCTCGTGAACTGTTAGCGCCGGTGTTATGCCGTGTTATGCATGTCCACTGCACCTCGCAGGAGCGCGCACAGCGTAAAGCAAAAACTCCCGGACATTTCAATGATTTTTACAGCAAAGTATTTTTGTTGTTGTTGTAATCGTTTATTTAGCAGGGACAATGCACAGTAATGAACACTTAAAACATTAAAATGTGTCAAGCGTAACAGTGCCAGATTTAGCTTTGAGCTCATTTCCATCCGCAGTCCCTCTCATAAAACATTTAAGAAGATTACATTTTACAAACATAGCAAAAACTAAATACATGATATGCAAAAAGTGCAAAAGAGCAAGAGCAGCATACACAAGTATTTATGACATGGTGATACAATATAGCAGCAACGACATATAAAGTGCAAGAGGAGATACCCGTGTGTTAAAGTGCGTTTAGCGGTGATTGCACGTCTGTTTGTTTCTCAACCATTCTTTGAGTTGACCTTTAAAACTATTGAGAGTGGGACAATCCCGTATCTCAGTTGGGAGGCTATTCCACAAAGAGCTGCCTTTAATTGAAAGTACATTTTGTCCAAAAGTGGTCCGTCTGCGGTGGACTTCACAGTTAGGTTTGGAAAACTATATCATTTCCTTTTTGGCGGTGGTTAAAAAAAATCCGGAAAAAATATTCGGTTAACGCGACCTCTGATGCTGCCCCAGAATGCCTCGCTGTAGATTTTTCTTTTTCCCTTTTTTACTTCCGGGGCCTATTGACTTCACCAAATCCAAATGGACTAATTGGCACACAGCTATAGAAACCCTCTGCCGGGGTGGACTCCCAAGCAGCTCAGGAGTCCGCCCCGTGAGGCTCCCGGAGCGGACAGTGTGAGGTGGATTCCCCGCTGTGTTTAACCAGGAAACGACTCCAGTAATCCACCTCACACTGTCCGCAACTCGAGCCTCAAAGGGCGGAGCAGCGAGCCCTGCAACGTCCCACCAACACGGCACCCAGACCCCACGCAGCATTCTCATCTGTTTGTCATTACTGGACAGAGAGACAGCATTGCGTACAGTTTACTAGCTGAACTGCTCGTAACTGAAATAGAAGGATACATTTTATTTTTTTTTCTCATTTATTGATATTTCTGTTGCCCTAAGAAGAGCATATTGATTGGATGTTACTGTTGACATTAACTGACTCTTGCACTCTGCAGGATGGAGCTACGCTGTGTCATTGCCGTCATCCGACATGGAGACAGAACGCCCAAACAGAAGATGAAGATGGAAGTTCGCAACCCAATGTAGGTTGCCTGTGTTCCTGCGGTTCCTTTTCAATGAAAAGATAGATCAAATATGTTCTGTTAATGAATAGTCTGTCTCTCATTCATGCAGGTTCTTTGATCTTTTTGAAAAATATGGAGGCTACAAAACAGGGAAATTAAAGCTGAAGAAGCCAAAGCAACTGCAGGTAACAATAAGTCAGAGAAATCTCCCAGCCTGTGTGTGATTAGCTCTGTGTGTGAGAACTCTGACGGCTTGTTGCTCTGACCCAACAGGAGGTGCTGGACATCACACGGCAGTTGTTAGCAGAACTTGGACAGGACAATGACTGCGAGATAGAAGAGAAGAAGTCTAAACTGGAGCAGCTGAAGACTGTTCTGGAAATGTGAGTCAAACAAACTGGGCCACTTTATTAACCATTAAAAACCCTATGCTATATTAATTAATGTCAGCAAATATATATAAAAAGTGATTTTGTTGGATGAAAACGAATGTTTGTTGTCCACAGCTGTATTGTTATCCTTAGCAGTGGTCTGTTACCGAGTATAAACACCCTCTGAAATGTCCAAATGTACCAATCAGAATTGAGTATTCAACTAAGTTATGTGATACAAAATTATGAAGTGATTTGGTATTAATTTGGTTATATGCATGGTTGCATGTTCTGGTGCTCCGCTTCCTTTTGCGTTAAAGTGGTTGGAAGAGAGTTTCCTAAGTTTGTCTTTGGCTTCCTTCCCTGCCTATTATGACAAATGAGTTTGTAAAAGGTCACCATCTGCCATACACAACTTTCAAGAGCCTTTGATGTGCAGTGAGTTACGGCTGCAGTGTTTGTCCTGTTAACAGAGCAGTAGAAACATTGGGGTTATTGTCTTCATGTAACCTTTTTAAAGGCTCAGATTGTCATGGCACATATAAATGCACAACTTCAGCCATGTATTCTTCAAAAAAGGTATCTAAAGATATTGTTTTTCTCAGCTCAATATGGAAGATCGTCGTTATGTCCGTGTTGTGATTGTCCGAGAGCTAATCTCACAAATGACTGAACTCATCAGCCTAATATCTTGTGCACATGTATGACTGCTTAAGGACCTGTAAAACCTTTCTAGTATTGTGATAAGGGATTACCAGCCTGTAACTGCACGTCCTGTTTCTTAGTCAACATCACATTGTTAGTGGTCGTCATTTTTATTAGCAATTTACTAATGATAATGATGATTTTGTTATCGTAGGTAGAAGAAGTAATACAATCATGTTTTTCTATCCAAGCTTCATTTTTTTAATGACCCTATTTCTATTTCCTTGTTTATTAAGGTACGGCCACTTCTCGGGTATCAACAGGAAAGTGCAACTAACTTACTTGCCCCATGGGCAGCCCAAAACCTCAAGTGAGGAAGAAGGTAGGAAGAAATCAAGGCACATTTTTCAAAATATGATGCTGTCAAGCTAAAACGGGCCAAAATGCTGAATACTGGGTCCTTTTGATTGAATTTTCAGATACGCGTAAGGAGTGTGCATCTCTGCTGCTGGTGCTGAAGTGGGGGGGAGAGCTGACTCCTGCTGGCAGAGTCCAGGCTGAGGAGCTGGGCAGGGCCTTCCGCTGTATGTACCCCGGGGGTCAAGGTGAGACACATGGCTTGTTTTCCTACTGGAAAGAAAGGTTACGTGGTATTTAATTCTGCTAGATTTCAATGAAGAGAACACCTTTGACCACCTCCTCATAACATGCTGAAGTGTTTCTTGGCAAAACACTTAACCTCAAACTGTTCCTGTAGGCAAGTCTATGGTATTGAGTGTATGTAAGTCGCTTTAAAGACACATTCCCCCCCCGCCTGAAACGACTCAATTGGACTCTTTTGTTTACTTCCGTAACATAACAACATCACTACGTAACACTTGGCTGTAGAGAAAAGAGAGGAGGGGGAGAAAAAGACAGTTGAAGCATTTAGTATTCCAGGGTCTTTCGCCAGAGAACATGAGATGCTAGGACTGAGATGTAAACAAAGGAACCTGGACAAGGAAAGTGTCCCTCTTCATTAAAGCAGAGCAAACAATCACGGGATAATTTAGCCCATTACCGAGGGGTCATGGGCTTAAAAAAACGTATTTGCTTAAGATCCTAGGTGGGAGTTATTTCCTACCAAGGTGGGGTCATCTTTTCACAAACTGTGCTAGTTACGCACAAAAATGCAGATAGTTTACAGTGACTTTTACACCAGCCAGGTCTGTGTCTGTTTATGTTATTGTTGTCTTCAATGTGTTTCTGTAGGAGACTATGCTGGATTCCCAGGCTGTGGGTTACTGCGGTTACACAGCACCTACAGACACGACCTGAAGATATACGCGTCCGATGAAGGCCGGGTGCAGATGACGGCCGCTGCTTTTGCAAAGGTGTGCAGCATTCCAGGACTCTTTAACAGCTCCATACAAAATAGACATTTCATCACTGTTGCTAGGTATCAGCGTTGATACAAAAATAATGCCTTTTGTAATAACCATTAAGCTGTTACTTTTTTCATACAGAGATACGTTATATGTTATTGTCCTCAGCTGTGTGAGTCTAGAATGGAAAAGAAAGTAGGTAAAACAAGCTGGAGTCAACATCTCCGTTGAATAGAAATAAAACAGCGCCACCTGCAGAAATTCAAAGGACTTTGACTGAAGGAAAGGAGAGATATTTTCAGAAGAAAGCTAGTGTTCTACAACAACAGCAAACCTTTAGACAATTCATTTTTGCCTAAACAGTTTTCTTTTTATGACAACGGACCGCTGAGTACCATTAGCTGCTGATTGGTAAACAAATGTAAACAAAACTGTCACATATTATTTGAAAAATAAGAGTGACTGTATATTTTTGTAGTGGAGAAATAAATGTCAAAATATAATAAATATCAGTGATTTGTTTCTTTGTCCCAGTAAAACAGCTCATGCTATTTGTGAGATATCAAAGTATTGGCCACACTGTGAAAAACAAAAAGATCTAATTATCATGTTTGCATCAAAGATGTTGCCAAAACAAATCACCACAGATTACCACCTCATTGTGTCTGTGTGTGTGAGCAGGGTCTGCTGGCGCTGGAGGGGGAGCTGACACCCATCCTGGTGCAGATGGTGAAGAGCGCCAACATGAACGGGCTGCTAGACAACGACAGCGACTCGCTGAGCAGCTGCCAGCACCGCGTCAAGGCCCGACTGCACGACATCCTGCAGAAGGACAGGGACTTCAACGAGGAGGACTTCGACAGGGTGATTACATGAAAGAGGCCCTCTTAGGCTTTTTTCCCTTTCCTGTAGTGGGTTATATATGTTTTCTGCATGTAAATGCTTAGGGGCGGGACATCTCTAAGCAGTCGACCAATCTCAACAGAGCCAGCCAGCTAACCAATCAGAGCAGACTGGGCTCTGGTTTCAGACAGAGCGTGAAAAGAGGTGCTGCAGCACAGGCAGTATGAGAGCAATAAAGACCTTTTTGAACATTAGAGTATGGAATAATGTCACAGTAGAGGCACAACATACAAATATGAAACCTGAAAATTAGTATAAAATGTCCTCTTACAATTTCATTGAATTTAGCTGACGCTTTTATCGAAAGCGTATTACATTAAGTGGATTCAGAAATGATAACTATTATTTGCCAAGGTTAAACCGCTGGGTCTTTATTGTGCGAGCTGGTTCCACCACTTTGCAGCTAGGATAGCAAACAGGCGTGTTTTTGTTGATTAACAAACTGTGCAACACCCTTAGCTGACTGCTTTATGTGCGCCTGAGGAGGTAGGGAGGAAAACAACATTGAGAAACACTGTCGTAAACTGCAGACTTGTGTGTGCAGCCTGTTGTTTTGAAATAGGAAGCGAATGTGATGTCTTGCGCCATTTGTCATTTCCTTTTTTTGTGGCTGGTTTCAACTTAATTACAATAATTAACAAACGCAGCTAAGAGTTCAGTCTGTAGATCATAGAGAGGCGAGGGCCAAGATGTTCTTCTTTTGTAAGTGGGAACAACTGGGACACATGAGACGGCTGTCCGTGCCAGTAATTCTTGGGATAACCAGTGTTGAACCAGAGAACACAGGCGTGATACCTTTCTTTAAATATATGTTGTTCTAAATACCCAGCTCACTGGGGAAATTCTAGCTGCAGTGAATTCATTTCATTGCAAAGGTTGATCCGCTCACAGACTCGTGTTGTGGTTATACTTGGATGCAAACATGTTTGTGTGCTTGTCACAAATCTCCTTTGATCATTCAGAAGATCAATGACCTGGTCTTGAGCTAACATTTAAGCATTCATTATATTTCCGAATTGTGTTCTATTATATCAATTGGCAAAGGTTTAGCAGCCTTCCACTTATAAGGTCAGAATCTGTTCTGTTTGATTTCATTAAATACCTTTTTGTGCTTTTTCTTTTTCATTTGGTGTGCATGTGACAGCTGGCCCCAACCTGTACTGCTTCTGTGGTGAATTCAATGAAGATTGTGGAGAACCCTGTGGCCACATGTGACCAGGTCTACGCCCTCATTCAGAGCCTCACCTCGCAGATCCGCAAAAGGATGGAGGACCCCAAGTCAGCTGGTGAGCAAAAATCTGCCATAAATAGAGCTTTTAGAGTATATAGGGTTTTTTTTTTAACTACTTTAACAGATGTTGAAATCCACTTGGATCCGTCTTCATTTTCTTGAAATGTTGTACATTATTATCTTTTTTAATTTACACACGGTACCTATTGCACGTCTCTCCGTCCTGGGAGAGGGAGCCCTCCTCTGTTGCTCTCCCTGAGTTTCAAATGCTGTACGCAATGAAAAGCACCCTGAGGCAAATGTGTAATTCGTGATATTGGGCTATATAAATACAAATTGATTGATTTATAGATGAACGGTTTTCTTTTGTTTACCTCAAAGCTTGAAAGGTGATGCCTTAAAAAGTCTTTGCGGGATAACTCTCATCGATAGAAACACATTTCTATCAAAATCAAATAGAGTTTGGTTTATAATGCAATGCAAATGATCTTCTTTCTCTCCCTTCACCAGACCTGCAGCTGTACCACAGTGAGACTCTGGAGCTGATGCTGCAGCGCTGGTCCAAACTCGAGAGAGATTTCCGCATGAAGAACGGCCGCTACGACATCAGTAAAATCCCAGACATCTACGACTGTGTGAAGTACGACGTTATCCACAACGCCACCCTGGGCCTGGAGGACACACTGGAGCTGTTCAGACTGTCTCGAGCTTTGGCCGACATCGTCATCCCACAGGTGAGAGAGGACGGAGGGGGGTGAACGACCAGCTGGGGAGGAGACGGTTCTATATCTGGGGGGTTTGAGTTTTTTTCTTCCAAGATTTTCTCAGAAAAATAAAATCACAGTAAATTAACTAACTATAAAAATCCCAAATAAAGCCTTTATTGCTAATAATAATGCATAACGCTTTATAAGTCTCATGTATTTATTATTACGTTATTTATTTATTTTACTTCTGTCAAAGCTTGTCTGACAAATTCCTTCAAATGTAAAAGGCACACATAAGAATGAAGTTGCTATGCGAAACAAATGTGAAACAATGATATTGAAAGTCGAAATCATGGACATATTTATTGTGCGCTGATCCATGATACTGGTGACATGTTCCTTAGGTATTATCTTTTCAGCAGCTGTGTAGCGTTTTTTTAATCAAATGAGTGTTTGTTTTTGCAGGAATATGGCATAAATAGAGTGGAGAAGTTGGACATAGCATACACCCACTGCCTCCCACTGGTCAGAAAGATCCAGCTCGACCTGCAGAGGACCCACGAGGACGAGTCTGTCAACAAGCTGCACCCTCTGTGAGTACATTCATTAAATGCTTGGCTGTTTAGATGGCTGCAAAGTGTTTTGAATGACTGATATTTTGGAGCATCTAGTACAATCGTGTTTTGTCTGCAGGTACTCTCGAGGGGTGATGTCTCCTGGGCGCCATGTCAGGACACGTTTGTATTTCACCAGTGAGAGCCACGTCCACTCCCTGCTCAGCATTTTCCGCTACGGTGGCTTGCTCGACGTAAGTAATGACACATCAATCCTACAGAACTGAAACTGTTTCTATGAAGGGGTAAAAGTGAAAACTAAGGTTTGTTTGCGAAAGGAGGAGAACGACCAGCAGTGGAAGCGTGCCATGGATTACCTCAGCGCCGTCTCTGAACTCAACTACATGACTCAGATTGTCATCATGCTGTATGAGGACAACAATAAGGTAATGTTTTTGTTGGTTTGTTTATCTATAGCCATAATGGTACAACATAATGCCACAACATTGTATCTTTCTGGTATCTCCAATTTGTCCGTCCGTCTGTGTGTGTGCGTGAATACATTTGTATTTGTTTTAAAAATATAAATAAAAACGAAAAGGTCAACTCAGAGTTTAAACCTTCTCCACTTGTTTTATTATCCGAAGGTTTTTGATATGTCATTTTTTAAAGTGCAAGGAAAATAAAAAAAATTTGGAAGAGTAAGATCATTTGAAACTATTGCACCAGTGCTAACAATGGTTTGGCTTATTTGAAGCGAATTGACCTGCAATTTCTTCCTTTTCTGGTCTTCATGATTTATTTATTTTAAAAGGCTAGTTTTTGTATGGCTGCTTGCAAAGTGTTAACAAAATTAAACACATCATAACAAATGTAATTCGTTTATCATATTTAAATCTGTAGAAAAGCACAAAAAGACCGTATTTCTAATATGGCTGTCCCGCCCAATAGGATCTGGCCTCTGAGGAACGCTTCCACGTGGAGCTTCACTTCAGCCCCGGTGTGAAAGGCGTGGAGGAGGAGGAGAACGCACCGACCGGCTTCGGCTTCAGGCCCGCTTCTGCAGAGGTAGCCCAGCAGGTAGTATCCTGTTGAAGTGTTCTTTCTGTGTTTCAGTTCAGCAGATAGCAGCATGCGTATGCTCTCCTTATTCTCTCTGAACACACAGAACGGGCAGAAGCAGACGGATCCCGGCAGCCTGGAGGACCTCTCGCGAGATGAGACTGACCGCGCCGTGCCGCTGTCTGAGCCAATCACCATTCAGAGGAAGTCCCCACTCATACGCAATCATAAGACAGGATCCATGGAGGTGATGCAGACTCATCCACCTAGACACCTAAGAAGCAGACTCTTTACACCAGAAGCTGAAATCAGTTTATTTAATGTTAGACTTGACGAGTTATGGCTATAAAAGCTACTATCAAAGATCAATCACTAATCTGGTCAGCCTTAAGCTATGTATTTGTTTAGATTCGTTAAAGAATAGGTGTGTGTGTGTGTGTGTGTGTGTGTGTGTGTGTGTGTGTGTGTGTGTGTGTGTGTGTGTGTGTGTGTGTGTGTGTGTGTGTGTGTGTGTGTGTGTGTGTGTGTGTGTGTGTGTGTGTGTGTGTGTGTGTGTGTGTGTGTGTGGTGTGTGTGTGTGTGTGTGTGTGTGTGTGTGTGTGTGTGTGTGTGTGTGTGTGTGTGTGTGTGTGTGTGTGTGTGTGTGTGTGTGTGTGGTGTGTGTGTGTGTGTGTGTGTGTGTGTGTGTGTGTGTGTGTGTGTGTGTGTGTGTGTGTGTGTGTGTGTGTGTGTGTGTGTGTGTGTGTGTGTGTGTGTGTGTGTGTGTGTGTGTGTGTCCTACCAGGTTCTGTCAGAGACATCTTCCTCCAAAGTAGGCAGTTATCGCCTCTTCTCGTTATGCTCACGTCAATCCCCCGAGATGAAGCAAAGTGGATTAGGTAAGTGTATTAATGCACTGTTTCCATGGCAACTGTTTGAAGATGGTTGTGGGAATTCTGTTAAAATAGATGGGGATGGGCAGACCGATTTCATTTGAGAACTTTTGATCTGGGAGGGTGCTAACACTAACGGTAATTATTAGGGTGGTCACAATGCGATTTTCTATTTAAACCTTTTTCTATTCCATTGTTGGTATAGATTTGTAAAGATCAACAGATCACTGAACTATGTACATTTACATTTTCACACACCCTTATGTTGTACGTTATCAAATGTGTAGTTGATATTCAATTTAGAATCGAAGTTGTGACACCCCTAATAATCTAGGACCTAAAAGAGGTCTGTTTTCACTGTGTGGGGGGTGCATGTAAGCAGCTGGTGTTTACAGTACGTCTCCACATGGGGATGTGTATGTGTCTGCTAATGAATGTGCCTGACTCTCAACATACAATGGAAATGACTAACGGTGGCTTAATTTTCAGCCTGTTTTGGGATCCAAATAAGTATTCCATTAAACATCTTATATCTGACCGTAACAGTTTTGTAAGTACCATGGTTCAGTTTGCTCTTGAATGGAGAATCTCTCTTCAAATGTAGCGACCAGCGACATTGTTCAGATTTAAAAAAATTAAAAAAATGTAATGGTCACAATAAGGATTTTTTTAATGTATTTTTTCCCCATTCTATTGACGTGAGTTTAAAGTGATTAGGATCATGAAATATGTGCATCGGTGGCATGATCCGATTATATGCTAAGACGTGTAATTTATATTCAGAGTTGAAATGTCGACATCTATGCAGCTGCGTACAGACGGCATTACACTGCCGCAGATCCTCAGATCATTTCCCCCCCTTTGACACCCTGCAGTCTCAGCTGTTTAACACATCAGAGGTGCATATCCCGTTTGGGTGTCGGCCCCTTTTTGAAAGAGATATTTCAGAGGCAACCACTTTTTGGGGTTGCTGTTTTTCACTGCTGTTCAACAGACCCATTGGACTTTAAGATCTAATTCTGTTGCTTTGACCTCTATTTTCTCTTTTCTATGCTGCTCTTTTGTGCTTCTGGTTTGGACTAATGTCAAAAAAGCATCCTTGGAAATGAAGGAAAACAATAACTTAAAGTAAGAGGAAAGGTGGATCGACTTAATTACAAAATGGCACTTAGAAAGTGTCACAAAGAAAAAGTGAAACATTTCAGGATGCATTTTTCCTTTACCCCCCATTGCCTGCCATAGTGGCTGAACTTTTGTCCAGATGTGGGGACAGATGTTTGTACGAGACGCCTGGTCCTCTTTTGCTTGTCTGTCTCTTTTTCTCTGTTTCTCTGTCTCTTTTTTCTCTCTGTCTCTCTCTGGATAGTTGTTTTGAGTAACAGCATGATATGTAGTGGTGACTAACCCCCCCACCCCGCCCCCTCGCAGGCTCTCAGTGCGCCGGGCTCTTCAGCACCACTGTCCTAGGTGGGTCCTCTAGCGCCCCTAACCTGCAGGACTACGCACGCGCACATCGCAAAAAATTCTCCACCGGCAGTCTGTCCTACAAAGACGGTACGTGTTTGAGACCGCGCTCCTTCACAATCCTGCACAGGGCAACAGCAGATCAGTGACAGATACACTTCCTCTTAGTCCTAGCGCGTAGAATAGCCTAAGATTGTGAAACTGGGCACGTGAAAATGTCCTGTAGAAATATTTTCTGTAGATTTACTAAGAACTATAATTGATGTATTGGTTAGATGATGTGATCAATAGCATCAGTAGAACTTATGATAATATGCTTTATGAGAGTGAGGATTAAGCAGGAATACACATCATGTTACACATACATGTGTTTTCCTAATTTTTATATTTGTTGTTATTTTTTCTTTGAATCCATATTCATTCTAGCCACCAAAACCACTGGATTGTCCATCTTATGCTTTTGTTTTCTCCACTCCACTTTGAGTACAAATGGGTGTATAGCAGTTTGTATACATGCTGACCAATTTAGACGGGAAACATTGCCACAAGAGTAGCACAGAATCTGTGTCTGTAGAGTATTTCAAATCCACGCCTGCTGTGTGGAGTCAGGGGGATCTTTAGCTGAGTTACAGAGACTTCCCTCTTTTATTACGTTCTATTTGTGTACAGCAACTTAGCTGTGCAGTGGAGATCTTACTTTGCGTTTTTAAGTGAGTTTGTTATTAAGATATTTTAGTGAAAGCCATTCATTTTTGATTATTTATTTATTTTCTATAAGAACTACTGCATGTATAAAGCAACTGTTCATCAGTACGTCTGCGTTCACTTCCCCTCATTCCCCAAATCATGTTTTTCTTGCATGTACCCTGGCTACACTGACTTCCTATTAGTCTGTTCAGCAATACAACCATGTGTATATCACAGCCAGTCACAATTACTAGTATGCAAATGACTGCTACAGTAGCTGCTGATTTGAATTCTTGAAACATTTGATAATGATAAAGTTGATGTAATAAAGTCTGAATGAATAGCAGAAGTCGTACAGCAGTTTTACATGCGCATCATACATTTGTTTTTCAGCCCCTCTGCTGTTGGAGTTAGAAAGCTAGTGCTGTTACTGTGCTCAAACATTATTCAAAAAACGCTTTGAATAATATTGAATGTGAAAAGCAACGGTCGACATTGAACCCAGGGATCTATCATGCTTGGCCCTGATGTTTGTTGTCATGGCATCCAGGAGGTGTCACTGTGGCATCACGCAGACGTACAGTCGGCTCCTGGTTGTCTCACATGTAGCCTCGCTGCCGGTCTTTGTCATCCATCTTGTTCCACATCACTCTCAAGAATCAAAGGAAGCACACTAATCTCGATGCAGTCGAGATTCAGAGGATGCTCCTCCGTTAGATGCTCCTCCGTTAGTGTAGCGTTGGTGTGATTTTTTGTGTTTCCATACAGAAACATCTTAAACCGGGTCAGGTTCCTCAGTTTGTATTGTTGTCTCACTATATGACACAGAGGCGGAACGGAAATGTACTGGGATGTCTTGTCGTGGTTAGAGCTCAAGCGGGGCTGAATATAGGGCTTGTTTCTTCCAAGTGTTCTAGTCCTCGGTGTGTACGCTTCACCTCCTAAGTTCAAACATTTCATCTCACTCCATTGATGCCCCACAGCCATCTTCAAACATCTTCAGCCATCTCTAAAAGTAACGCCAGGTAGTTCAGGGTGCTGTTGACCTTTAGAGAAGAACAGGATACAACATGATGACACAAGTTACTGTGGCTCCTAGTGATTTTTTTAATTTTTTATTTCCTCAGAGTTGTTGTCAATGCCGGCAGTAAAACGATTTTCTGTGTCGTTTGCAAAGTTTCCGACTAATGGTACGTCTGCTTCCTTCAAGTATTTTTCCACTTCACCTCCCTGTGTCTTGCATGTCTTCAAACTTTTTGTTTTTGACCTTGGGTTTATTTTTCACAAGGCCCTCCAGCATTCCAGGCTCTTTTTTTAATTTATCCATATGCTTTGGACTGTTAATTTCTAACACTACCTGACATCCTCTTTCTAACCAGGGTTCCCACTGGTAGTCTTTAGAATATCCACAAATTAGAAGACAGGGAATGTCAGCAAATGTTAAAACAGACCTCATATTAGTGTAGCAGGAAATATACATCCTAGCAGTACTTATACCTGTAAGAAAAACATTGTAATGAGCAGGGAATCATTTGTGATTATCATTCTGCCTTTTACCTCATATTTATTATATTCTTAGACTTTCATTTGAACCAAAAGACAAATAACCAAACCACAAATAAGGACAAATTACCAATTGTCCTCCATTACAGTAGGAAACAGCCATGTTTTCTTACCTCTCGTGCCAGTTAACTGCATTCAATTAACATTGGATCATTTTCAATCAGAGACTCAGCATTGGTCAAAAAGTAAGCAATTGACTGTTTTTGCTCTGTAGATTTAATTTGTTTTAATATGTTGTACACAAGAGACATGGTTCCTGTAATGGTTTAGGGATTTACCCAGACAGATTTCCCCCCAAAACTCTATTTCTTGGCTATGTACAACGTAGGATTAATGTTGTTATTCAAGCGTCCAATTGCAGCTTTTATTTGGATATTAGACAATATATATATATACATTTAACAACCTTTTATTAAATACAGTAAAATATGGGGAATATCTATTATAACGGTGCAGTAAAGTATTTTGTTACAGGGCCGGTAGAAAAAGAAAGTTGAAGGTATAACTCTGATTTTGAAAAAATGATATCAGCCCCGATTTACTAAATCAAATGGATTTATTGGAGGAGCACTTCAATACAGTGGTGCATTGTTGACATACGTTTGTAGGCTGTCATTAGTATCTTACTTTATTAAAGTTTGAAGACTTGCAAAAGAGGAAGCCGATGATACGTATGGGTGCGGCTCCAAAGACAATGGATCCTGTTTTTCATACTGACATCACTACGTAACACTTGCGCTTCTTTTGGCTAGCGCTCCAACACATTGTACGTGATGAACAATGACAACAGAGCCGGCCGCTGACCAATCAGAGCAGACTGGGCTCTGGTTTCAGACAGAGGGTGAAAAGAGGTGCTGCAGCACAGGCAGTATGAGAGAAATAAAGAGCTTTTTGAACATTAAAGCATGGAGACATGTCCCAGTAGAGGCACTACACACTGATATGAACCTGAACATGAGCAGATTAGGGCTCCTTTCAAATGAAAGAGCCTTCCGATGAAAGTTTGCTTTGAGCCAATGGTGGGAACCCTGCTTCACATCCCTCATACTATTTTGTTAATTGATCGCCATTACCCAGTTATTCCTTTTTCCCCAGTGGATGGATGTGTGTGGGTGCATGTGTACACGGCAATTACGTAAATAACACACCTGTTGCCGTCATTGTAGAGGATGTGAGTAAAGCTCATTGTTAAAATGCCACCAGCAGCACATTCATCTTTAACACTTATGTGATTATTCTTTCACAACGCCAACTCTAATTTGTGGATTGAAGGGTCAATATGGTTCAATCGCAGCTGACTCAACAAGGAGCAGCTCTTATTGAAGGACAGAGGAAGGGTTAAAGCGTTGTTCATCTCATCTCCTGTGACATCCGTCAGTTTTGATCCATTTGCACACATTATTTTGTCAATGTTTTCCAATGTGGTGGTCCAGTGTGTTTCAAGGCTTGAAAAAGAGCAAACAACTACATTTGTATTGAAGATGTGTAATGACGATGTTTGAGGTCTCACTTGTGATGTTTATCTTGATTTTGGATCATTTCTTGACTACATCTGTCTGGGAGGAAGAAGGGAAGTCGTAGATGATGAGATGTTGTTGTGAATATCCCAGCCTTTCACTCAATGTGGAAACAAGGACTGGTTTAAATGGATTAAACTTGGTTAGTTTGGGATAGTTAAGCTTCTCGTTGTCTGCTTTTTGATGAAAGTTGGATCGCTTCCTTTGTTTGCAAATGAAGAGTGTACCAAAGTGGTCTTAACAGGCAAAAATGTTCATCCACAAGTGTTTTTCTGGCGAATGTTCTTGGCAGTCATCTCACAGAACAAGTACGAGCAAAATGACCCCAGAAAAGGAACTCTTCCTGTAAGATAGCACCATGCCAATACAGTCAACGTTACTGCCACACTATTAGTATGTTACTTTTCTCTTACATATATTATTCACCACAGGAACTAAAGATGACACATCGGCCGTAGCAGTGGCTCCACCTGTCTGGTGCACTGCAACAGGTACGACGGCCCCCCGCCCCCTGCTGATGCAGTTTTGTGTTGGCACCAAATGTCCAGCTGCAGCTTTGTGTCGAAGCACAATAAGATGACGACAGTCGTACAGCCCTAGATTTAGCTGCACATGTTAAAGCTGCTGCGCTGTTTGTTTGGAGAGGCGGCTGCGTTTTCTTTTGGGCTACATCGCTTCCTGTAAATGTCTTGTGTCACTCTTGCTCCTTTGTGGGTTCTCATGGATTGGTTTATATGAAAATAAATTAGAGAGACGGCAGAGGAGCAACTTGTTTTAATTTCAATGGTGTCGACAAAAGCTTTGCTTAATTTGCTGGATTTTTGTAGCTGAGATGATTTGCTGCTTCTCCTGATCTTTGGCTGTTTGGCGGCCATGATGTGTACAGCACACACACACACACACACACACACACACACACACACACACACACACACACACACACACACACTCCTCCTTCCTCTCTCTCTGCTTCCCTTCCTGTCTTTCCAAACTCCTATTCTCCCTCTCATCTGCATCATACCTCAGTTATTTTCTCTCTTCCTTCCTCCTCATTTTATTTCCCATCAGTTTCATGCCTTTTCCCCTGCTCCACCTCCTCTGTCCATCCTCGCTCTCCCTCTTCTCCTTCAGAGCCCTTGGATGAGCAGCGTGTGGCCCAGTTGTTGAGGCGTTTCTCCACCGACCTCAGCCTGGGCCGCCACCTCTCTCTGGACGGGGCGCTGGCCCACCACCTCCACCAGTGCTCCTACCACCTCCGCCTCTTCCGAAACTGTCTCATCTCCGGCCAGGACCCCGTAGAGTACCTCCACGGTCAGCCCCCTGGCCCCGCCCCCACACCCGCAGCCTCACACCCTGTTCAGCCGCTGCTCACGGTTTTCAGTTTGGACTGTGCTTGTTCTGTGGTGGACCATCATGCTTTGCCTCTTGATGTTTCTGCATGCTTGCCTGTGTCTGTGGTTATGCAGATTGCAAGCTGGAGTGGTGTGAGGTTTTGGGGCAATCTGCAGTGGTGTTAGTAACCCACCCCCTGCCCTTTTTGCCAATACATAAATCCTCAGTTATTTTTGTTTTATTCCTAAAGCTTTTTCTGTAAAATAAAATTGAAGGCACATATTTTGCAATTTAGGTGTACCAAGATATCAAATATAAAAACGAATTTAATTTTGAAATAATCTACCAATTGTTTTTTCAATTAATTGTTTGGTCAATCTAATAAAGGCAGAAACTTAAGTAACAGAAATACAGAAAATGATACCATTACATTTTAGCATTCAGATGTCAACTTTAAGATTTGGGCTGCCATTATGATGAATGTCCGACACTTAATACTTTGCTGGTTAACATTTCAGACTTTTATGTTTCCCTCACTCAAAGTAAAAAAAACATGTACTCTCCCCAAAGTACGTTACCAACAATGACTATATATTGTAAATTCACCAAAAAGCAGTTATAATTTATATACCAAGCCAAAACAAAGTGGCATTACTCTTCTGATTGAATGAATCACGCTGTAGCAACACACCTTTTCACTGTTACTTCTTTCAGTTTTATGTTTAGGCCACCTAAAAATACAAACATAGGTTTATCTTGGAAGGAAATCTAATTGCAGTAACAAGGGGCAAAATAACTTCTTTGATAAAATGACCAACAAGAAATAATACAAACTGAGCAGTGTTCACTCTCCCCAAATGCTACTAATATTCAGACTGTCTGTAGCAGAAACCATCAAACTGTCATATTTCTTCTGCCTTTTCTTTTATCAGATTTTACTTGATCTAAACCAGGAATTGATCGTTTGAGACGGTATTTTATAGCAGCAAAAATCCTGCTGCTAGTGTTACGTTTCTGGCTTTTTGTAGAGAAAACATTTTACATTCCTAGAACCAACGGTGTCCATATCAAAACACTAAGGCTATACCTACCCGTACGTAAAGTATACAGTAGGAAATAAATAGAACCATATACATAATCTGCATATTCCTCTACAAACTGTTTATAAATCAACATATTGCATGTAGAATCCGATTGGCAGTTGGTCCTTGATGGCATAATATATGAATATGTTTAGGTGACACATAAGCAGGTTGCTGCTGTAGTAAGGCTGCTGACAAAGCTGCCTCCCTTCAAGATTATAGTTCCTGTTCCAATTAGATCATCTATCAGCACTAGCCAGCGTCCATGTTTCTGAACGGCACAGAAACTCTGTGGAATCAGCAGTCCTACCTGACTATAACCAGCATGTGGATCCTGCTTGTTTGCTGTACATTACTCACACTGGGTGTATATGAGCGCAGTAAAAACAGCCTTCTCTTGACGTGTTTAGACGATAGAGGCTAGCTGTGGTTTGACGCTTTGTGATCGTGAACGGCTCTGGCGACTTGGTTGTGAACTAACAGTGGATGAAGTTCCTTGGGTAACGTTTGTTGAACATTAGCTGGACAGCTTTTCCTACCGCTGTTAGAGCAAACTCAGTTAGGGATGTTTTCGAGACCTGCTTGCTTTTGCAAATAAAACTAGATTCTAAGAGTGTGTAGACTTGTTGCCGTTGGATTTGGTGTCATGTTGTCTTGGCATGGTGTTTTTGCAACTTGCCTGTGTGGAAGTGAACAGTAGGGGCTGGCAAGAGTTTTAGGGCTTGTTCAGAAACAGGAGCAGGATTAAGGAGCACCGCGTGGAGGTGTAGTATATGGGTGGCATCTGGGCATTGGTGTCGGATGACAAGTGGCTTTCTGCCTGCTCCTCTTCTGACTTTGAGGTCTAACTGAGTGCTGATGTGCCTGCGGGCGTCATGTCTCTCCTCTGATGCAGGCTTCGAAGGCTGCTCCATGGTACCCTCCATCTATCCGCTGGAAACGCTGCACAACTCGCTGTCGCTAAAACAGGTCGCAGAGTTCCTCGCTGGTGTGTGCGAGAGTGCAGGGGATCCACACACGAGGACTACCAGAGGTAAAACAGACATCAAAAATGTAATTTACTGTAAACATCATAATCATCAGCATCCGGAATCAAGATTCAACTATATGTACCAATGTTTTTGCCTAAGTGACTAATGGGAAAAGCTATTTTTTTAATTGGTCCACTATTAAGCTATAGCGCCACAGCTGGCTAAAAACGGTGAAATGCATTGCTCCAGGCAATAATGCATCATTGTACGTTCACCAAAAGTGCTTATTTTTGGTACGCAACTTCTCCAAGCAGCGATACTTAGTAACTTAATCACACAAAAAATAAACATTGTTGTTTCCAGTTTTGAATCCCATTCAAAACCCCTTTTTATCCTGATCTGTATTTTTTTTGTTTATCCCTGCAGCTCTGCAGTCGGCCATGTTGGACGCACAGAACCATCCGTCAGTGGACTCGTACATCCCTCAGAGAGTCTCTTCCTCCATCTCTCTCAGATCTCGTTCTGACAGACCTCCTTGGTGTGAGTATCCAAGCATCTCCATGTTCCATCCGAGATTTGACATTTTTAGGTTGGCCTCCCGCGGCTGTCTCAGTTTCAGACGTGTGAGGGTTATTTATAGAACACAAATCGTCCATTGCAGCCTCCATTTGTTGCCACTGTTGCTGTCTGTTATCTCTGGTCTTTTCTTGCAAATGACATATTATTTATTTCACTTCTTTGTGCTGCTTCGCCCCCCCAGGGATGATGTTTATCCAAAATGAATCATGTTGTGTTATTTCCTCTCACACTTGGTTTATATTCTGCTCCCACAGACAGCAGCGGTCCATCCAGCACAGTATCCAGCGCCGGGCCTTCTTCTCCCACCACAGCAGACACTTCCCCACGCTTCAGTTTCAGTGATAAGATCTCTCTCACCCCCCAGAGCAGCGAGGAGACTCACTCGTCTCAAAACATTTCCAATCAGCCGGCGCCCGCCTCCGGGTCACAGGGAAATGACCCGACCACAACCCTCGCCGAAGTCCCTCTGACTCCTAATAACTCATCAGAGGAAGACGGGGAGCTTGGCCCCGCTACAGATCGCCAGCCTAACGATCCTGAACACACACAGGAAGTGACTCCTCCGGCTAGGGAAGCCTCAGATCCCTGCCCGATTCCGCCCTGCTCGTCGTTAGTGGAGCTCACCCTCTCTCGGATGGAGGGCTACTGCCTCCCCGGCTCTCTGCCCGTGCTGCTGGAGCTCCGGGAGAGCAGCAGCGAGGCAGGCTCCAGCTCCCAGACGCCACAGTCCCCCGAGGGACTCGACGAGTTCTTCGACACCCAGGAGTCCATGGAGCTGTGGATGGACAGCCCAGAAGATGTCCCCCAACCTGAGACGCCTCTAGATGGTGGAGCAACTCAATCAGCAGAGCCGTAGAGCATGGAGACTTTCGGAACAGATCCGTCAGACACTACTGTAACTTTACATCCTGGCTGTCAATCATGAGCAGTGAGGCGTTGTACTGTGTGACACTCGCCCTGGCCTCCTCCTGCTTGATGAATACTGTGTGTTGAGTAATAATGAATGGGCAGCTGATCCTCACTAGGCTCTGCTTAGAATAATCATATGACAGTGCCATAAGTGCTGCTCATCGCCTTTTTAGAAAGCACATCGGGGCTTGCCAGTGACGCCACTGAGCATCCTCTGACAGTCTACTGGTTCTGTCTTTATAGACGTAGAGAGCCAAGTGTTGTAAGTTGAAGCTTTATCGTCAAACTCCCTGTTACTGTTGCTTATTAGCGGTAACACAAACCTTTCCTTAAAGCTGGATTCATCCGTTTGGGCCACTGGGGCAGAGCGAGACATTTTATCACATTATAAAACTGTTTAAACTCGGATTTGTTCTCCACCCATAATCTCAAAAGAAATGTGCTTAAAGAGGCCTTAAGAAATAGTTTCCAAATGTTATGTGTTCAATTGATTCAAAGTGACCATGGAGATATTGATCAATGGAACTTTAACTTGTGTCGTCTTACCTTTTAGCCTTTACCTTTGGACAGATGACGTTTTCCCATGATCAGCTTCCATAACCTCCATCATAGTCCCGTGACGGGTATCAGGGTTTATGTCCTGGCATCGGGGCAAGGGTCCTTTGTTTGTTACAGGATAATGTTACTTATAAGCTCACTTATTTTATTAGAAACACAGGAAGTAACTTGCAAGGCCTTGAAGATATAATCTGTGGCTTTTCTGCTCTTCGTCTTACCCCAGTGTGTGTTCTCTTCTGAGCTTCTTATGTTTAGTATCTGCGTTTTAATTTTAAAGAAAAAACAAACAAAAGCTAAATATTCGTTAGTCAGAATGTTTTTGTTATAATGTCAGTTAAAAAAAGGCTTCTGTCAGTAAATCTCCAGGTCAAGCTGCGTACATGGCCTACAGCCAAAGAAGATTGAATATACTCGGTAGGAACTGATGGATACAAAAACATTTATTAAGAAATGTCATCTTACTGTAATACTCTTCTGGTATTTTTGATGCCCACATCAGATATGTTATTATACCATAGCTATCGTATATGTTTTGGTCAACAAGCTAATTCCTTTTATCAGCGAACAAACGGGAGGAGTGATTCAATGTGCTTTTATTGTGGCAAGCAGGTATGTAGCAGGTGTGTGTGGGGGGGGGGGGGGGCTACACACATGATGATAAGCAATTCAGGTACATGAGTACGCTGAAGTGCTATTCTCTGTTCAATCAGTGAGATGTGATGTTACATTACGATATAGTGTAGAGGGGGGAAACACAACTGTGAGTCAGGGAGGCTCTGACCTTTCACCCTGTCGGTTTGAAACAGATACTCACTCTGTTTTGCTTTTGTGCTGCAGGTGCTGTTTGCTTGAAGGGTCAATTTACTCAAATTACAAAAAGCTGAAAACATGTGCTCCCTTGAGGTAAGTGAGGCAGGGCAGATAGTTTTGGTTGTATTCGTTCTGGGTTTCAGATTTCTATCTTTGACATTATTGTCTGAAATTGTGCTCAAAAAATGTGTAGCAGTGGGTCTTTCCAGAACTAGAGACCCCATCACTCTGGATAGTTCAGAGTGCATCTTAACCTCAGGTTAAATATCAGTAAGTAGGGTTTTTTGATCATTTCAAGTATGCGTTTTAAAAAAAGGAAAGGTTTTGCAAAAGAGTTTAAAGATCTGACTATAACATAACATATGTGTGTAGTACAATTCATGAAACGAGCATGAATGTGACATTTATACATGCTTCCCATACTCAGAAGCTTTAAGGCTCATCTTGTTGGATTTTCTTCTGCAGTGCTTTATGGAACATAACTGAAGAGTCAGCAACCGACTGTATCTTAATGCGCTCAACTCCATATGGATAGTAGTAGGGAATGAAAAGTGCAAAAGGTTCGCTTTTTTCTTTGCAGATTTTCTATAATTTCATTTAAAATCTATGCTACAGTTTGATAGAACACGGTGTAACTAGTTGCACCTGTAACTACAACACCCTGAGTGATGTCACAATGTGAGTCTTGAGGCCTTACTTCAAACCTGAGAGTACCATAACCCAAACTCTGTTCCCTTCTGGTGCTTCAGAGGACAGGCAGAAAACTCAGATACATGTCTCAACATTCGGGCTCCATAGCTAAATGCCACTATAGGCTAGAAAAATCTGTTTTGTAATTTCTGTGAATTGACCTTTAAAACCTGCTCGGAGTGCTTCGTGAACTGAAATCACATGTCTGACATTTCTCCCTGTTGGATCATCAAGCTTAGGTCAGGATGCACAATGTGTGTTTTCTTCAAATCTGTACTAACTCTACTGAGCTGATTCCACAAATGCTCTCTGTCCTGGTTTAAACCGCCCGTCTGTGTGAAGCTTAACCATTTGGATTTAGAATGGTCGTTATGTGAAACAGACACAATATTCTGTATTGCCTCTAACAATGTTACAAATACAGCTATTGGAGTGTCATTCAAGTGTGTCGGTTCTACTTCATTATTTGCTTTAGTATCATTCCAAAAAAAATCCAGTTTAAGAACAAAATCTTTAAAGTTTACATGAATTTTTGAAAATGTTTAGAATTTCAGAAATGATGTGCGAAATGTAACACATATACAAATTCTTCATTTTTAAATATAATTTAAATTTTACAAAATAAAAAATCAATAATGACATTTTCTCTGCCCAATAATCCATATAATCTTTCCCAGTAGACGAGGCAAATGGAGGAAAAGTATTAGACCTGGTGGATTACAACATGTTACATACAAACTGATGGATTGCTTTGAATATGGCAGATGAATATTTAACACCTAACGTGTATGGAGATGAATAAGTGATAAACTAAGAGCATTAATCGCTCAAACTGTCTCCACTCTTCTCCTTTCAGGTTTATATTTTACCAGAATTAAGTAGTCCAAGCAATAAAAAACAGCCCCAGATCAACAGCACCGCAGGATGGTCCTCCCTGACGATGATACTCAGGTGTCGGCAGGTAAATGACCTCTGAAGTCACTCAGCGTTACTTTCTGAAATAAATCTGTTTTAGTTTGGAGACGCCTGCAGTCAGCATTATCACGTGGTTTGCTGTCAGTGTGAAGGTCACCGGTGAGAGTAATGTAAGCTGAGGAGGAAAGAAAAGCAAGAGGGACGCAGGGGAAGGTCACATGTTATTTATTACTGGCAGGTAGATTCATGTTGTGAGTGGAAGAGAATATTTACCTGGGGGCATATTGTTTTTTTTTCTCCATTTTAAGAACAAAATAAAAGATACATTAAATGATAAGTATATAAACATTAGAATACAAAATAAATTAAAAAAGCTAGCCATAAAAACACAAGAAGGTCAAGTAAAATTTCCACTCAGACATTAAAATAAAAAAGGTTTTATAAACTACAATATAAAACATCCTCTCCTAAAATATAAATGCTATGTAAGTGTAGTACATAATAAGACTGAGGATTACATTTCTATACTTTTAAACAAGTTATATCATTTTTAAATATTTCGATGTACCGGTAGTATTAAATGGCTGGTCTGTAATATAGTTTCCTTGATCTATGATTTCATAGCTGGCTTATGATTCAAAATCAGATTTTTCAAATGTAACGTTTTTATTCTGGCAAGTTCATGTTCAGCTGCTTCTGTTTGAACTTGTTGGTTCAATTAAGTCAAAGTGGCGACAGCACAGTTAAAACAAAATATATAACTATTAAAGATGTAACTATTTGATTAGTTTATAATTAAAGTTATACTGGAATATTATAATGGTAAGGTGTAAATGGCTTCCTATTGTTGTAGCTGGTTTAGCTCATATTTACTTTTTTATATTAGTTTATCTAGGTCAAGGGTGTCAAACTCAAGGCCCGTGGGCCCAAAGGGCCCGCAACCTCATTTTACGTGGCCCGCAAGAGCTTGCAAAGAATATTATATACAATACAATTGGTGTAATTGTTGAATATTTGCTTTCAATTATTTCAGGGTATACGCAGGAATCCTGAAGTCAAGTTGAATACCTTTTTAAGACCCTTTTCATACATTTTATAAGATGGAGCTTTATTGTCTCTCTTAGGAGAAATTTGTCTTGGGCATCGAGATAATAAACATAAAACATTCAGGTCAATCAGTCATAGATACAGAACAGAGATCACATATCACATGGCAAAGAAACAAACAAGAAACATACAGGTACAGCACTTTCCTTATTGCACATACATGAATCAAATATTGCGCTTTTAATTTTAAGACCTCATCGCCACTTGGAGTTTTAACCGGTTACATTGGCGACACACTTTACCTCACATTGACTATACAGTATTGATTGTCCTTCCTCCTTATCTTCCAACCATTTGGACGCAGACTTGCATTTCCCCAAAACGATGTTGTTTAACAACCGGCGTAAACGGACCTCCCCGCTATCAAGCAGTGAGCGTGCGATGTCCTGTTCAGATGACGTCCAATCCAACGGGATGCCATAAATAAACTACACAGAATCACACTACACACCTACGCCATGATGACATTCAGGCAGACTGTAGAATACAACCTCTTTGGACCATTGATATACTTATTGAAAACAAGCTACAAAATGTAATACCTTGGAAAATGCCGTTTAATACTTTTTAATAGCCTTAATTTTCGCTAAATTGATTTATCAACTTTTAATACTTTTTAAGACCCCGCGGACCCCCTGTATTTGCCCTAGACTTCTGCTTTCAGACGGAGTTATTTATGAAGTTATTACCAGAACTAATAATAATCCTATGCAGAGCCAAAAATAATATAATATAATACATGATTTAATATATATTATATATGTATATAGAGAAGCTAAAAGTGTGCAAAGCTGTCATCAAGGCAAAAGGGGGCTCATTTGAAGAATCTAAAATATAAATCATATTCTGGATCTTTTAACACTTTTTTGTTTACTAGATAATTCCATGTGTTCTTTTATAGTTTTGATGTCTTTAGTATTAATCTACAATGTAGAAAATTATTAAAATAAATAAAAAAACCTTCGAATGAGAAGGTGTGTCCAAACTTTTGACTGGTACTGTATATTTATATAGTTACAACCGGCCCTTTGAGTGTAACCATAATGCTGATGTGCCCCACGATGAAATTGAGTTTGACACCCCTGATCTAGGTGGACTGTATTGATTCACCATATTTTAAAAGCACATCATTTTTGTTTGTGAAATGTTAATCTGTAAGTGAAACTTGGTAGATGTATGTGACATCTTTAAATACTCAGCCCTGTACTTGGATATTTTCCTCATCTAAAGAAAAGGGAAGGTGTCACAGCTGTTGCTCTGTTCTCCACCCTGGTCATGTGACCCAGGAGGTGATGTCATTGCAGCATTCATTCAGCTGGATTGTGCTCCAACTTCCAGCCTGCTCCTTCCTCCGTCACAGTATCAGCTGCACAAAGACCAAACCGTGTCTGACAAAAAAACAGCGAGTTGAAACTCCACCAGCACCAACTGTTGAAAAGGGTCTTAGAGTCAGAACAAAGCCCATATTGTTCCCATGTCCCACTAGATGACATCATCCTTACACTGAGGCAGTGAGGAAGGAAAACTGGTGTCTGCAAAGCCTTGGGTTGTGTGTCGGGACCGTCGGGACTCAATAGGGTTGTATAGGAGATCTGAGAGGTTGTTCCTCTTTCTGTTGGACATTTATAAGCCAAAGGAGTTACATCCTAATGACTATTTTCAATCACAGACTACAGATCAACATTCAGACTTTGTATTTGGACATCTTGACATACTGTCTTAATGGAGTGCCATCAAAGTTTGTTAAGATATTCATGGTGCCCAGAGGATGAACTATGATTACTTTAATAATCAAATTTAAGTTTTCTCTATCACGTCCAGCAGGTCATAGAGACCTTTCATATTAGTATGTAGTGTCTCTCCAGTGACATGCCTCCATGCTTTAATGATCATAAAGCTCTTTATTTTTCTCATACTGCCTGTGCTGCAGCACCTCTTTACACCCTCTGTCTGAAACCAGAGCCCAGTCTGCTCTGATTGGTTAGCTGGTCAACACTACACTCAGAGAGGTCCCGTCCCTTAGCCTATCACGTACAATGTGTTGGAGCGCTTGCCAATAGAAGCTCAAGTGTTACATAGTGATGTCACTTTGTTATGGAAGTAAACAAAGGAGTCCAATGGAGGCATTTCAGGCAGGGTGGGACTGTGGGAATGTTTGGACCACACTAACCAACTACAGGAAAGGGAAAACCTAAAAAGCACAATAGTGCCTTTTTAAAGAGGAAAAACATGAATGAAATACAATAGTACGGGGGAAAAAGAGGGAGACATTTTTCTTCAGTAAATGATGTTTTTATTGGTCTTCACCACACTTTTTCCCTTTTCAACAATAAATCAGTTTTTCTATTTAATTTTTTTTAAGCATTTAAAGATAAAGATAATATTGCACTTAAAACAAGAGATGAAGCAGAAAGGAGAAAAATAAACGATCACGATGCTTTCTTTTCTGCACAGCCAGGGTTACATGTGCCTCCTTAGTTCCACACAGCTTAACTTCTTTAATATACATCTTTTAAAATAGCATTTCTATGGTAAGTCGCATTTTTTCATCAGCTATTACATTACAGGAGAACTCAAAAGTTACACATGCACGTACAAGCAGGGCTCACTGAAATCCAAGTCTTTATGATGATTTGTTTCACGGCAAACAAGTTTGAATGCCCACAGATATTTATATTTTCTTATTTTTTGTTGCACGATACGAAAATGCAGCTGTGAGTGTTTTTTAAGCATTGTCTGGAAAAAGGTGTGAGTAATAGGAAATCCTTTATAGGTATAAATGTATTGATATGAGTGTCTGGCAGTTTGGGTTTTGAGTGTCTGCTCATATGAGTAGTGTTCGTTTGTTATTATTAACCTTTACAGTGATGCAGTATTAAACAGGAATGCATTGACCCTCTTTTATCAAAGACGCTGTTAATGGACCTTTTTAAATCAGCACTGAGTATTTCTTATTTTATCATTTAGGACAGAAAATCATAATGTGTGTCATCTAAATAAACAGGTTTTTGCCCTACACAAAGTCCAGATGTATTACAGGCTACAACAGTTCGGTTGTTGCCGCCCGGCGTGAGCGATGAGTCAGATGTACCACATGATGCACAGTAACCAAGGCAGCCAGGAGATCAAAGTCCTCCACGGAGAACGTAAAGGTAAATCTGCATCTTCACATTCAAATCGACTGGAGCCGCTGAGGTCCGGCAGGCCCCCTGCTTGTTTAAGAGCTATCGCCTTTATGTACATGCTTCTGTGTCCATGCACCGAGGGGATAAAATATCATACAGGGGAATATCTGATCTGTAATGTGGATCATAAAAGAGCAACCCTGGTGATGCGTGTTGGTCCTTGAGTTTTGTTGGGTAGTTAAGATTTGTTAAAAAATACTTAAAACCTATCAAAATTTAAAATCATCAATATCAAATAAAAGCACCTATATTTATATATATAATAAGTTAATTAAGTGTAACTTAAAAACATCCACTGATTTGCCACCGGAAGAACAACAAATCACTAGTTAAATGTTGACAATTTTATTTTCTTAAAAAGTAATTTAGCAAACTTTTCTACGATAATTAAAAGTAACCAGAAAAAAACTAAAACTGCCAATTTTTTCTTTGCAAATGCTGTTATGTGTTGCTTAATTTAAGATTGCTTAAAGTTTTGCACACTGGTTACTGGTTGTGCTTTTTCGAGTGGCAGCTCCAGGAAATCTAAAACGCACCGTGGCGGTGATCTTAAAAGTGCCATTTTATGCTCAATATGTACAACTCTTGACCTTGTTTTGTGCAATGATGTTCTCACCGACAACAGAGGAGACCAGCTAAATTTATACGACGAAAAACCACATTTCATTTCCCCTTTCCAGCAAAGCAGGACAGAAAGGCACATGTGGGTGACAGTCCAACCTCTAACTATCAAGCAAACCGACCACCTTTGTTCACCAGGCAAACACAATCTCTCCTCGCAACCACATGTTCCTAATGTTGTAGTGGAATACATTCTACGTTATTTAACACAGCTTTAAAGATCTTTGAGGCGCAGCAACAGATACTGTATAAGGTTTGTCAACCTTCCTCTAAGCTTGAGCACTGTTTTATATGTTAAGAGATAAACGGGCAGAATCCAAAACTCAGGATGATGAATTTGTACTCGTTTCACCGCATCTGCCTTCAGTTCTCCTCATGATCCTCTGCAACAACGTGTTAACTGGAAATACACTGAAAGAATACACCAAAGACTACGGAAACAATTATAGAGAGAAATGTTTTTCTCCAGATCTAGCGTAACAAATAACAGCCACCGAGAAAATCGTACTTTAAAGATTGATTTTCACTTTGAGTTTACCGTAGAAATATCACTACAAGACAGATTTTTTAATATACTTTTTCCTACGCTACGGCTAATATGCTCAAAAGACAGATTGAACGTGTTCTATCGCACTATGTCAGGAGGCACAAAGTTCAACACTGGGACTGCCATTGTTTTAGAAGAAAGTTGAACGGGAATATAGAATAAAGTTAGGGAAAGCTAATCACAAGTAGCCTGTAATAATGACTTTCGATTCAATTGATCACATTGAGAAAGGATCGACGTTTTGTCCACGATGCACTCGATTTTGTTGCTGGCTTTTAAGGTGTGTAAACTTGTGCTTTCGTTTAGGCCAATTAGAAGACAAGCAACCGATTGTTAATTTACGTTGTTTCCTATATGATTTTCTTTTTACAATACAATGGGCATTTTTTCTGAGCCAATAAAGACGTCATTGTCTCACAGGGTTTGGTAAAAAGATATGTAAAGGAACAGAAAAAAACTCTCCCATTCATAGGCCTGAGAAATAATAATATTGTAGTGGAGGACACAGTCAGAAAACTACCTTTGTAATACAAATGCTGATAGCCACAACAAGCTTATAAATAAATACAAATCTAGAAAAACATAGACAGTTATCCAGGTCTGTTTCTGCTTTTGGTTAAGTGCCCAAAGCAGAGGCAGAGTTGCATATCAGGCTATAGAGAAGAGCAATTAAAACCAGATCTACACTGGGGAGGCCAGGAGGAGGGAGAGGGGGAAACGAGGGTCTTAAAACTCGATCTTGCAGGCGGGGAAAGACTCGTCCTGCATAACAACGGTGCTGCTGGAGGCCAGGACCATGATGTTGAGTTCCTGCTGCCTCTCATGAGTCTGCTGGTACCAGTCACGGGTCACCTCTGTGTCATGGGTGGGGATCAGCGTGACCTGAGCGATAAGACAAGAGACCAGGAAATATCATGACTCACTCGGTAGAGAGGATAACAGCATGATTTATCATGGTGTATAGAAAATCAAGAGCTAGTATACAACAATCAAATATTTCAGGATAATTAGTTTCATAGAATGTGTGGAGAAATCGGCTGTAAATGAGAGCCCTTTTAACTTAAAGGCTTAAAGACAGAGTATGATTGTTCACTCTTCTATCTACATCCTCAGGGAAATATTATGCTTTCGCACACTTAGTTTTTACTTTGCCGTCGAGGGGAGGGACTCGGAATCAATCCAAGATTCATTGGGTGCGCTGCACACACATCTCCCTTTTTTACTATACATGACCAGCATTTTGTTGGAAATGTATCTGTCTTGGCCTTTTAAAGAGTGCAATTGCTTAAGGTGTATGTGTATTGTGGCCTACAGGGACAACATCTTTAAATATGCCAAATTATTGTCAGCATCAAGCTGAGTATGGCGTCAAAAATATTACCTGGAGGTTTGAACCCCACTGAGCTTTGCCATCAAGCAGTGCATCGAGGACTCCCCGGCTTGGTTCACCACTTGCTGTATCGTTCCCGCTGACCACATAGTACGCAGAGCGAATGCGTTTGAAAAACTCTTGGTCCACATTCTTGGCACTGCAGTGGTTTGGAATGTAGGCCAAGTCCACATAAATAGGAAGGCCAGAAGCAGCTGCAGAGCCGGACTTCTGAGAGCCTGAGTGAAATAACAAAAAATTGCTGTCAATGTGCAAAAAACATTTAACTTACTAAATCTGAAAGCTTTCACATTTTTTTCATAATTTGCCCACCTGAACTGCTCTTGACACCGTTAGTCAGGCTCTTGCCAGGGTTGTAGCTCGACCTGGAGAGGTCATCCTCTTTGGAGCCCTGTCCGTCAGACAGACGGGACATACGTGAGCTTTTGTCTGACTCCTTCTTCTTCAGTGAGGCGGTACGAGGGGATGCCGTCTGTTTGACTGGCATGGGAGACTTCTTGCGCCTGGCCGGGGATGCTGACTTGGTTTTACCCGAAGTCTTTTTCAAGCTCTTGACTTTTGGCTCTTTTTTAACCAAGCCATAATCCAAAGTGTCAGGATCAACCATGCAAACGTCTGGACGTGGGGGGTGAGGGCATGGGTCCATGACGGGAGCAGGAGGAGGGTCAGTCCTCCTAGAGGAATGATGGCTGCCCCCTCCTGTGGCCGATAATTTATCAACAGGCATATAGTCTGCATCTTCATCAGAGTCCATGTTCCCTCACCGGCGACTGTGGGGTATTCCTCAGTGCCCGGAGGCCCATCAGAGTCTGACTGAGAGGCTGAAGACTCGCTGACAGAGGTTGGTGGTGTGTCCTCTGTGGCCAGACCCAGCCCTGCTGACATGCCACCAGCTTGGTGCAGGGAGCTGCTCTCCCTGCTGTGTGACGGCTGTTTGTGAGCCCGACTCTTGACCGACAAATCATTCTCATCGGCCTCCTGCGATTGGTCACTTCTGCGGCCATGCTCCTCATCATCCTCATCGCTGGATACGTGACGCATGCATGGGTTGATGAAGGAAGGTGAGAGGTCATGTTTTGCCTGCCTGTACTCGGAGGAAGAATATCCGGGGGAGCTGCGGCTGGTATAGGAGGAGGTGGCTCCCATGGGCACATCGCCAGCAAGGTCCTCATCGCTGTCCTCATCGTCGTCATCCTGGCCTCCTCGGCTGCACTCTTCAGCGTAGAACGGAGAGTGAAACGGCTGATCAGTTGAAGAGAGTGACAGTGGGCGAACAGGGTGCTCTGGCTCCATCTCACACTCCTCTTCAAACTCATCTTCATCACGGTAATGGGGAGGGGAGTCTCCGGGCACCATTCCCATCTGGGGCTGTGACATCTCCCACTCAAAAGAGCTCTTGTAAGCTGCAGCTCCAACTTTGGGTTCCACCTTAGCAGATCCTGAAGATGCACCACTGGATTCCGCTCCAGCAGGTAGGGTGGTGCTCAAGCTGACCTCTGTGGGTCCGTTTGTTGTGTCTGGCTTGCTGACTTGGAAGGGTGAGGGCATGTAGGACCCAAGAACCTCAGGGATTGCACCAGCTGTCTTTTCACTTGCAGCTGAAAGAACAGGCTTGTCTGTAAATGAGAGGCCACCAGCCGGGCCACTAGAAGGTGACTTTCGAGTCATCTCGCGCATGTACGCGTCCTCATCTTCTTCTTCTTCTTCACTGCTGTCCGTCTCCTCAAAGTAATGCTTGCCTTCTATGTCTGGACGTGGTGAGGAAGTGACACCAAAAAGAGCAGCACTGGCTGCCTCTTTGTCCTTTGATAGCTCTGCAGGTTGAGCAAACGGTCCTGCAGAGGCCTTGAACCCAACAGCTGTGTCTGGCTTCGACCCTTGAGACCATTCCGGCTTATAGAAACAGTCAGATTGAGGCCCTTGTCCATAACGCCACCTAAAGAAGCGGTATGCTCCTTCTTGTCCCCTGCAAAAGCAGTGGACGAATGTGAGGGGAAAGATTTGACCTCCTCAAATGGGCTGCGAGGTGAGAAACGGGTGGACTCAGCCGTGGTTGTAGCTGTGATGTGTCTTTCAGAAACTTCTAGATAGTCGTCTTTAGCACCAGTGGAGCCAGACAATGGAGAATCCATGGCAAGTGAGTGTTCATCTTTAAAAGAGGAGTACTCAAAAAGAGGCTCGGCAGGAGTCTCCAGCTCCTCTCCGAACTGGCGGCTGGTGGAAAGGGAGCCTGAGGTGGAGGAGGAGTAGCTGTAGGCCGAAGAAGAAGAGTACCCAGGGCCAGTTGTGTACTGGAAGTTTGAGTCCAGTGATTTCTTGCTCAGAAGGTCTGGTGTTTTCTGTTTCTCAAAATCGGGATCAGCCCTGTCACTCTGGTAATAAATGTCCTCTGCTGATTTCAACGTGAGATCCTCTTTACCTTTGTCTGTGTGACTTGATAAAAATGAGTCTTTCTCAACTTTTCCATATGAGTACTCAAACCCTGAGGAGGAGCCAGAGAAACCTGTAGCTCCTAAATCCATTGGCTTTCCACTGGATGAGGAGTCAATCTGAGCCTCGTGTTCAGCCTTCTTAATTGAAGGGGGGCTGCTCGGCTTCCCCTGGCTGTTATAACCGTACCCAGCCATAGAAACCATAAATTCAGGCCTATTTGAGCCAAACATTTCACTGACTGGACTCTTTACCTCATTTTCAGTCTTCCCCTGGCTGTTATAACCGTACCCCGCCATAGAAACCATAAATTCAGGCCTATTTGAGCCAAACATTTCACTGACTGGACTCTTTACCTCATTTTCAGTCTTCCCCTGGCTGTTATAACCGTACCCCGCCATAGAAACCATACATTCAGGCCTATTTGAGCCAAACATTTCACTGACTGGACTCTTTACCTCCTTTTCAGACCTCTCTTTGGCACCTTTCTCCATATCAGAATCGACAGCACATTCGTCTTCGTCCTCCTCGTCCTCTTCGTCTTCGTCTTCCTCGTCGTATTCATCTGCAACTTCATCATCATCATAGTCCTCCTCATCCCTTGCAGTTATTTTTCGCATATCAATCTCCAAGCCTGCTCCTTTCTCACCGTAACCTGTGGCGGCAGGTTTGTCAGTTTCAAACGCTGTCCTTGAGGAGTACGTCTGGGGCTTTGTGCCGTCAGTCTGGCTTTTAAAAGAGGCGTCTTTTTCTGATGATAGAGAAGTGGACGAGGCCTCGGGTCTATCAGCCACTGAAGGGAATCGGCTTCCTGTGTTGTATTCAAAGGTCGCCTTTCCTTTTACCTCTTCAAATGGAGGTTTAGCAGAAGTACTCTTGGAGTCGAGCCACGAAGGGGAGGAATCCTTTCCCCAAGAATCGGTGAATCCCCCCTTCTCTGACATCTTGTCCGTAGGTGATGGCGCTTGGGGTTTATTGGCATCTATTTCACTCTGTGCCGTGTCCTTGTCAACTTTATCTAAGGAATCCTGGTTATATGAATCAGAGTCCACTGAGCCGTAAATGTCACCGTAAGAGAATGTTTTGCCATGCACATAGGGCGTGTCCTGTCTTATATATATTGCCTTTTCTTTGCTCTCCTTCTCTGGAAAGTTGGAGAGACTGAAATGAACATTTTTCTCAGAATCTTTAGAATCAGTTTTCTCTGTACCTTCATTTTTTAAGTCTACTTTGCTTTGATCTGCTGGTAAGGGCTTATTTGGTCCTATCCTACTTGGGATATCATCATCATTGTCATCCTCACCTTCATCAGAGTACATCACTTGAGGTTTGGGTTTCACCTCTGTGCTGAATGCCACCTGTGTCTTGTCCGACGTCTTGACTTCAGTTTCTGTCTTTGCAGATTTTGCCTCAGAGGCGAAGTCGTCGTCCAAGAAGCACCCTTCTTTTGCCTCCATAATCTTGGCCTTAACAGCGGGCTGTAGATTATTTTTGGCGAAAAAGTCATCTTCCTCCTCATTGTCTTCAGGTGATTCTTCAGAATCTTCAGACTCTTCAGATGCTGACACTGTCTTGTCACCAGCTGAGATAATGGGTGATTTCTGGGTGTCAGTTTTAACATATTTTTCTTGTGTCTTAAAAGATTTATCTTCGGTCGGAGAGTAGCCACTGCTTGTAGGCACAGACTGTGTGGGTGAAGCCAGCTTCATGGTAGAGTCATCTGGACTCAAACATCTTTCCTCACTCTCCTGCCTGGAGTGGGACTCTAAATCTAACCTAGGGGAGAAAGATAGAGGAGGTGAAACAGGCTTAATATCTTCCCCAGTCTTAAATCCTTTAGAAAGGGACTGGTCATCTTTCACAGCCTGTGTGGTAGAGTACTGCATGGTAAAGAAGGGAGGGGGAGGAGGAGAAAAAGTGGCAGAGGGAGATTTCTCCTTCTCCTGGAGCATCTTGAAAGCTGCATGTTCATAGCCCTCTTGCAGTTTACCCAAAGGGATGTCAACGTTTGGAGTCTGGTCCTCATCCTCGTCCTCCTCATCATCTTCCTCTTCATGGACTGATTTGATCTTCGCATCAGTTTCCATTTCAGGAATGTTGGGCTGGTATTCATCAGAGGAAGGAGACTTAAAGCACTTGTCGTCCTCCAGAGAGGAGGTGGGTGAGATGGTTCCTGCTGAGTGGAGATAATCTTTGCCATGGGCGGCCTCAGCGCGTGAGGGGATACTGTTCATTGTGTCCAGCAGGAGAGAGTTCCTCCCAGCCTCCTCGTTCTGAGGTGCTGTCACAGAGGCTATCGACTGGTCCTCAGCTACGGACGTAGCAAAGGATGACAATTTGTCATATTCTGTGATGGATGTTGCAGAGGAGATGTGCTCTTCTTCTGCAAGAGGAGCAGCAATGATGGCAGGGTAAGGTGCAAGCTCATGCTCGTGACCACCCAGGAAGGCTTTAGGTTTGACATCAGACAGGGCGGAGAACTTCATCTCTTTCATACCATGCATGGAGTCAAAGGTACCAGGGACGTCAGGGACAGAGACGTCATAGGACCCCACATCATAACGCAGCTGTGGGATCCTATCATCTGGTTCTTCATGAATCTCCTCATCAGAGATGGTCTGTTCAGTTTCGGAGTAGCCGGGGATGGTCTCGTCTTGGATTAAGGAGAATTGCTCCGAGACGGAGGCTGTTACTTGTCCACATAGGGCTGTGGTTGATAAAGGTTTTGTCTCAGTTGGCTTGGTGTCCCAATCCTTGACAGATTTTTCCTTTTTCGCCTCTTCTGTTTTATATTTGAGGACCTCATCATCTTCTGTTCCTTCAAGGTCAGCTTTTTCAATGACATCACCCTCCTCCTCTGAGCTGTCACTCTTCTTTGATCTGTCTCTTGAGCTGTCATATTCGTCATATTTCCCAATTTGGTCCTCTTCAAACTTCTTGGCATACCCACTGCCTGCTTCCTTCTTCTCAGTCGCTTTAATCTGTACTGATGTGTCCTTGTCCTTGTTGTCTTCATCTTTTTTGACAGGGGATTTGGGTGAAGCAGATTTGATCTCAGTGGCTTGGGATGTGACTTTATCTTCAGTAAAAACTAAGGAAGGAACTTTAGTATCTCCGTACAATGAGTGCCCAAACATCACATCATTCTGGATCGGCTCAGACTTGACTTTGGACCGCTCTTCCTTTTTCAGAGCCTCAAAGTCCTCAGTGAGGTCCTCTGGGGAAGACACAATAGATCTGTCAGCCAAAGCTGCTGCTGCGATCTCGTCAGGAATGTTTTTTGGGACTGGCTTTTTCTCATTAGCTTTCTCTTTAACTGCTTTATTTTTGTCTGTCTTTGGCTTAACCTGAGTCTTCGCCTTATGCAGAGTTTTTCTCACTTCAGGGGTGAGTGGCTTTAGGTCAGGTTTAGTGATTTTTCTCAGCTCTGGTTTACTTGGATCCTTCTTTTTGTCTTCCTTGAATTTGCTTTCTTTTTTGACTTCCTTTTTATTTTCATCTTTCTTTACTTCACGTTTCTCCTTCTTAACTTCCTTTTTCTCTTTGTCTTTCTTTTCATCCATCTTGGAAGCTTTCTCGTTCTTTGACGTTTTTTCCTTTGATACTTTCTTTTTCTCCAAGTTGCCTGCAACAGGAGCAAACTCACTGTTTTTCTGTTGTTTGGTGGCTTTTAGACTTGGACTTTTGGGTTTCTTCTCTTCTGTCTTTTCCACTTTATTCTCTGTATTAATGTCACTCTTGGACTCTCCCTCCTGCCCACTGGCTTCTTTCTTTGTGGTTTTAGAGTGTGGTTTCGGTGAAGACTTGAGACTTTCCTTGCTGTCAGTTCTTGATCTCATTTTGGTCTGCTTGATGATAGGAGGAGGTGCACCTGATGATATATCTTTTTGGGTAGCTACTGGGTATCGCAGGAAGTCCAGGTGTTTCAGTTTTTCAAGGCCTTCAAAGATTTTATTCTGTGGTGCATTTCCAGGGAAGAGCACCCTGACTATCTTTTCTGTTGGACGGTGAGGAATCCAAACAATGAGAGCGGTAACTGATGTCAAATACGGGACAGATATTTCTCCTTCTTTTCCATTGGCCATCGTAATCCCTGTCTTGGCTTTGCTGTTTCCAGCCCATTTCTGCATTAGAAACTGCATCTCTTTGCTCTCTTTAACAGGGTTTAAGACATACAAGTCTAACTTTCCAACACCAAGTTTATGGAATAGTGTGATGGGTTCAAGGGTGTTGCTGACTACCCTGTGAAGAGGCTCTGGCGTGATACCAAGCTTGTTGAGGTATTGCAATGTAAGAGATGCTTCCTCAATGCTTCGCTTCACTCTCAGCGTGGACTCAGGCATCCGAAGCTTCTCTGGGACATTAAAAAACACAATCCCCAAGTCGGGAGAGATAAGGTTCTTCATAAATTCACCATTGCTGCTGGAGCCAGATCCCTGGTTACGCTGCTCTTCTTGTTCTGCAATCTTTCTCTGGAACAACCCATTGATGCCAGGGAGGTTGTCTGCACCGATGTGGGTAAGCAGAACAGAGTCAATCCTGTCGAGGTGGCGAACCAGCTTCCAGAAGCAAGACTTTCGATCTGACCCACCATCCACCAGGATGTTAAATCCGTTGACCGCAAACAGAGCAGAGTCTCCCCTGCCTCCAGGGAAGATGTAGCAGCAGGGTTTAGAAAGCTTCAGAAAACCTCCTGAGGTCGGGGGCTCCAGAAGGTCAAAGGATGATGGAACATCCACTGTCTCTGAGACATACTCGGTGAACTCTGTGACTCCGTCCATGTCGGGGAGGTTAGGTTCAGGGTTGAGGCGGTATTCCAAAATATTTTGAAGTGACTGCTGCTCCTGGCTTTGGCCCAGGGAGCTCCAGCCCCCGTCTCCCTGACAGGAAACAGTAAGCCTGGACGGCTGCTCTGAAGAGGCCTTGGACAGAAGTTCAGTTACCTGGGAACACAGTAAAAAACAAACTAAAATAACACTTTCGATGTACGTTTTATAAGTGTGTATTCAGAGACTGTACAAAAAAGGATTTGGAGATAAAAGCACACTGGTCTTACTTGAGGGTTGGAGATTATGTCAGAGAAGTTCTGCCAGGTGAAGGCTCCACTTTGCAGTAAGATGTCACCTCCCTGCTCAGAGCTCTGGCCGCACAGTATCAGCAACTTATTCCCAGCAAAGTCGGTGATCAGTGATCGAATCTGGGTAAAGTACAGAATAACCAACTCACAATCAACATGAATGCTTTGTAGTATTTAAACCTTCTTTAAGACACCAACATCAGACCCAAAAGTAATTTTAGTACCATTGAGTTTGACAGTTTGATGCCATCCTTGTCCTTACTATGCAAGGACAAGTACTCAAAGTGGTTACCTGTTATAAATACCTAGGTATCTGGCTTGATGATTGTCTTACTTTTAAACTTCAGGTCATTAATCTGCTTAAAAAGCTGAGCGTTAGGCTAGGTTTCTTTTTCAGAAACAAGTCCTGTTTCTCTTTTGAAGCCAGGAAAAGGCTAGTCACCGTGACCTTTTTACCTGTGCTGGACTATGGTGATTTGATCTATATGAATGCACCTGCCCATTGCCTGGAAAAATTAGATGCCGCCTATCACAGTGCACTGAGATTTGTTACTAACTGTAAAGCACTTACTCATCACTGTACCCTGTATGCCAAGGCAGGTCTGCCTTCACTAACTGTACGGAGGCTCAGTCATTGGTACATGTTCATTTACAAAGCCATGTTGGGTAAACTACCTTTTTATATCTGCTCTCTGATCTCTCGACGAATTGAAAGTACATATTGCCTGAGATCTCATGATGTTGTTTTATTAAATGTGCCAAGTGCTAGGACTGTCTTAGGGAAGAAAGCTTTTAGTTGTGCAGCGCCACTAAATTGGAACAGTCTGCAAACATGTTTAAAACTGAGCACTTTGGTTCCCCTGCATCATTTTAAAACTCAGCTGGGTGACATGCTGTTTGATACTCATAGTACCTGTCTCTGTAAATAGAGTTTGTAAACTGTACATTATGTTGTATGTCATCCTTATTGTTGTTCTGTTGTTTTTATGTTACATATGTAACTAATGTCCTGCAGGTCACCCTTGAAAAAGAGATCTTTTGATCTCAAGGGGCTTCACCTGGTTAAATAAAGGCTACAATCCATGCAACATCGAGCCAGTGAGAGATAAAATACTTAAGAATGATGAATGGAAAGCGAAAGTTAAAGACTTCAAATCAAAGTGTATAAGTCAATACAATAAAAACATATTTAAATGATGCAGTCTAAAGTATTGCTCCCAAGACGTTTTAGTTTTAATCACTACCTCTTGCCTCCATCAAAATAGAGTGGAAAAGGAAATATTTTCTTGTAATTTTAGCTAGCAAAAGGCTGTTTCACAAATCATTGGTTCTCGTCAAGAAGCTGAAGATCCTGAAACAAAAAAATAAAGCTGAAATGCAGAAGTAAAATACAGTGCAAAGTGCAGTATGATTGTAAACAAACAGGTTTTCTTTCTAGGGATATCATCAGGTGTATAACAAATATATAGTTTAAATGATGTAGGTTCAAACTTTTCCTATATCATACTACACTAGACAAAAATAATAATGAAAACAACAAGGTTCAAAAGTTCTAGATTTTTTTCTTCACCAGCAGTCAAATGCTATGCTAACATTTGACTCATTTTCACACATGACAGTCAGATCTGAGACATCTGAGTGGGTTTATTTATAACACAAAGCAGTATGTGAGAATCACACTTTGTGTGTTTTTCTGTTGATCACAAGCAGTAGAGACATGGACCTCCCATTTAAGCTGAGTCTTGAACAGCAGGAGCTGCTAGGTTCTTGGTGAGTGAAACCAAGTTCAATCAAGACTTTTTAGATTCAGAGAGTCTGCTCATCAACACCATGCTGTGCGTTGTCTGTGTTCTCCAGGTGTGACTTACCTCTGAGGCAGCAGTCTCCTCTGATGGGTTCACCAGCACTACTGTCTCGAGGACGTCACTCTGATACTGGAGAATCCGCTGGCCTGCGGTAAACACAGTAAAAGAAAAAAACGTAAGACTATACCAAGGCCAAATAATGATTGATGAGTAACAGAGGCCTCCTTCTGACTGGGCATGACAGGGAGAGACCAGGAGGAAAAATGGTTATTACAACAACAACAAAAAAAGATTAAAAAAATAAATAAATCATCATTTGAAAAATTATTGGGGGGGGGCCCGACTTGTTTTTTTCTCCAAAGGGGGGGCCTGACAGAAAAAGTTTGAGAACCACTGGTCTAAGGAATGATTAAGTGAATGAGAAGTTATGTTGGCATGTCTGACTCATTGAAAGCTCAAATTAGAAGGAAAAACAATGTTTCCCATAATAAAAACATCCTATGACCACTTTAATTTAATGACAATACAACACCCTATCTTCAAGCATCTGTCACACTGCAGAAGTGTCCTCAACCCCGTCTCCTCTTTTGCTAACTAGCCATCTCCTTTCTCCACTGAACCTAACTAAAGCCCCCTAGACAAGTTTAATCCTGAAGCTATTTTCATACACAATCACAACAATAACGCAACAAAATAAATCCCTCAGCCATAATCCTCATTTGCTGTTGCTATGGGGATGCTTCTATGGCTATTGCTGCTAGCTGAGTTACACTGACCCAGTCCTGGCTGAGGGAGACGCATTGCAGCATTTCTGTGAGAGGGAGGGGAGGCTCGTACTGCATGAGAGTATGCACGCAGCATCACATAGTATGAGAGGTGAAGGCGAGGGCCAAAGCGTAGCAGCAGCCGCATTATAAGCATGCAGGGGCTTCATCAGGGGATCTATTTTTAGCATGAAAGATGTTCTCTTCCTCCGCCTCAAAAATGTGAAGGAGCTGTCACATGGTGTTTGTGTCTCTTTCCCCTGCTGGAAGAGGAGGCAAGGGCAATGAGGGGTGGAACAATTAATTCAGGAAATGACATCTCTTTTTTGTTCTGGGGTTATGTGTTAGGTCAGGGAAGCTTACATTCATAAACAGGTTGCAGGTACATAACACACTGGCAGCAGTGTCACTTTGCAATGTACCAGTTTTACAAGCATCCTGCGGAACGAATCAGAATTATGAGCTAATTTGTGAAACAGCCAACGCTAGATCAGCAGCTGGGTAAACTCACTGGGGCCCAGTTTATGGATGCTGTTGTTTTACTGTCACATTTACCACTGAAATATGTTCACAATCTGAGTATGTTCAGCTGCTGATCAAACAAGCAGAGTCGGACTGGTGGTTTCGGGTTGTTTCTTTTAAATCTGAACCCTGGAGACTGTTTATGTAAAAATAACAACAGGCAGTTACTCTATGCAGCATGAATATTGCACTCTGAACCCTTAAATGGTTTACGTTTCCTGAGGGATACAGTCATTTCACAGGATGTGTCCATGTGTGAAATGGGTGTTATAACAATGTCTTTGCTCTGTAATATGGATGAGATATTGGTGTAACATGGGTCTAATAACACTCTTATAACTTGTGCCGATAGAAAAAACAATGCCAATATTGACATTCAGGGTTTTTTTCTTCTTCTTCTTAATATGTTGAGGAAGACTGGTTGCTCATTAGTGGGATTCTGAACTATGCACATGCTTTATTGATGTGAATGTAAAAGACCAGCATTCATGTGAACTATGTTAAATATTAAACATTCACAATCCACATGTCGGCCCTACATTTGTGAGTTTTTTTTATGTCCTTACCATAGTTACCAGCTATGCTCTCAGGTGCCAGCTGATTGGCTCTCTATAATTGCTGACACAGGTGCATTCAATCCCAGTCAGCAAACATGCATGTGGAAGAAAATGTTCACACTGTGGCTGTCTCATGAATATTACTGGCAACATTAGAGGGAGCAACAATTTTGTTTATTAAAAAGTTGCCGAGTCTGTAAACACCCCAATTCTGAGGTTGGATCATATCAATTGTACGGAAGAGGATTAGGTCCACATGTGAATTTTCTTTTTATGAGATCTGAACAAAAGTTCTGAGATTAAAGTCAGAATACTTATTTCATCTAAAAAGAAAATGCATGTGAACCTAATCCTTTTCTGTGATATTGAAATAAAAATAGACTACTACCTAAATGTTGGACACAAAGTGTTTTCGGGGATTAATTGCATTGTTTGACTGCCAGAGGGCTATTTTAAACATTTACTAGGAGCATCAAAATATTCTTTATAAAGCAGGGCTACATCTGACAACCTTATTTCAAGGAGGGCTGAGTGCCCTCACGGAGGAGCTTCACATTAACCGTATTTATTGTTGTCTTATCTCTTTTAGTGCCTTTAACCGTTATGACATCAAATTAACTGGAGCACCGACAGCAGACAGAAAGACATCTGAAAGACTAAGTGCTGCTGGAAAGGAGACATGACGACCTTCACATCGCACTACAAGAAAGGAGAGCAGGTATTAACCTCTTTCGGTTAGACTCACTGTTCACCACGAGAGTCATAAAAGAAATCAAGTTAAAAAATAATTTCATTAAGTAAATGTCATGAATGGGAAAAACAGTACTTGTGTCAATCCAGTCATGATATGGGTTTGACCTATCGGTACACACCCATTGTCAGTGTTATCAGTGGTTATCGTGGCCATTGTAATGTGTCAAGCAGGACATACTACTCCTAATACATTGTGAAAAGGAAACTTAAAAATAAACATGGCAGATGCAAATATATGACAAAGTATAAGCATAATTCTGCTGATGAAGGCACACTTCAAATCCCTGGAAAAAGCTAGAAAGTGGCTTTTGAGTTTGGATTTTCTTTTTTAAAGAGATTCTATATAGCTACAGTCCAGTATGTTAGCTGGCATCTATACAGCCGTACGCCTGAAGCTGTTGAGTCCAAACTTTTCACTTCCATCATATCATCCACAGGCAAAACTGACCAGTCATTATCCAGTTGTTATAAAGGGAACAGTACAGGTTTTATACACCACTATAATCTCATGCCTGCTGTGCTTGAGTCACTTTATCCCTCGGAGCCAACAGGGCTGACAGAGTGTCACAGTTTTACTAGTATCCATCCTCCTCCAGTTAATCTTCCATTATTAGTCTGTTGTATTCAGCTAGATGAAGCATGAGCCACAGAAGCCCAGACTACATTTGTTTCCATGATAACAGTCTGAATGATGTGTGGGCACATGAGTGGTTTTACAGGAGATTGTCCTTGGAAAGCTTGAAATAGGAATGAGCAGAGCGAGGCGGTTAATAAGCTTCTCAGACATGCACAGCGTTCATATCAGTTGGCTGAAGTGTTTTGTCACAATGCAGAGATGCAGCAAGGAATTATGGGTCATGTGCACAGGAGGCACCGGAGGCCCCCTTTTCACCTCATCTACACACAAACATGACTATCTTATTAAAAGCTCATTCATTGACACACCAGGGTTCTTCTTCATCAGCAGAATATTGCTTATACTTGTTCATGTATATGGATCTGACATGCAAGCTCAATGGTTAATACAACTTGAATCAGTTACAATTGAGATGAAGACCTTGAAGGATTTCTAATGAAGTAAAATGCTTTCTCCAAAGAGGATAATGACTTATTTATCTCTATTATGATTTATTCTCTCATACTTATTAGAAAATATCTAATAATTACAAAACGTTCTGTGTCTTTTCAATCATTTATTTTGATTTCAACATTTGGAATGTTCACCGTTTAGTTTAGGAAATGTTTAATGTTCAATTTTCCATTTCTCTTCATGAAAAAGATTGTGTATTCGATCATAGAATGTACTTTTGCCTCAACTTAGAAAAGCTAAAAATAAGTCCTTGAACTGCTGTGAAAGAAGTATTGTAAATCAAAATGAAAAATGTTTTTAAATCTAGATTTACCATTACAATTTGACAACGCCATGACATGATCAAGAGCCTCAGAAGAGCTACTAAATTGACCTTGTGGTTGATTTGGAAACCTTTGAGACTTTCAGTGTCTTATATATATACACTGAACAAAAATATAAACGCAACACTTTTGTTTTTGCTCCCATTTTTCATGAGATGAACTCAAAGATCTAAAACATTTTCTATATACACAAAATAACCATTTCTCTCAAATATTGTTCACAAATCTGAAAAAATCTGTGATAGTGAGCACTTCTCCTTTGCCGAGATAATCCATCCCACCTCACAGGTGTGGCATATCAAGATGCTGATTAGACAGCATGATTATTGCACAGATGTGCCTTAGGCTGGCCACAATAAAAGGCCACTCTGAAACGTGCATTTTTGCTTTATTGGGGGGGTCCGAAAACCAGTCAGTATCTGGTGTGATGGGTAGGGTTAGGGTAATGTTGTGAATCGAGTGGCCTGTGTTCGTTGTGCATAACATACGCCTGCTCATACCATAACCCCACCACCACCATGGGCCACTCCATTCACAACATTACCCTAACCCTAACCCTCACACCAGATACTGACTGGTTTTCGGACCCCCCCAATAAAGCAAAAATGCACGTTTCAGAGTGGCCTTTTATTGTGGCCAGCCTAAGGCACACCTGTGCAATAATCATGAACAATATTTGAGAGAAATGGTTATTTTGTGTACATAGAAAAATGTTTAGATCTTTGAGTTCATCTCATGAAAAATGGGAGCAAAAACAAAAGTGTTGCGTTTATATTTTTGTTCAGTGTATATGGCCGCACACAATCTGGTACATATGTTTTGTTTCACCGAGCTTTACAAAGTAAGATGGTGCAGAAGAAAAGCTTCCCTCTCTGAAAATCAAAGTGAGATGTCTGAGAGTGAGTGGGAGTTTCATAGCATTAAGGAATTAATGAAAAGCACAGTGAGCCCACACACTCGTGCCTCTGGTGCATGATGGGAAGCGGTGTGCAGCCGGCTGCGACACATTCTCTGCCCATTCACTGCCACAGCTTCATACTGGCACGCTACCTGAGGTCCAGAGAGATGTCAGAGGTGTGTTTGTGGATGTTTGTGTAGTAAAGTAGACCATGTCCCATATATGTCACTCTGTATGAC